TATTATACAATGTCTGAATCTGTGCTGCTCATACAATACTAAGAAATGCTCACAGAATCAATGGGAAAACAATAGCCAAGGCTACCAAATGTAATAATATAAATACAAAATTTCTATTCCTATTACTCCCATCAAAAGTTGTCAGTAAAGAAAATGACTATGCCCAGAGTCCCTACTTGCCATAGCCAAGTCTTCATTATTAGCACCCCTCCCCTGCTTACCCAACAGGACCCTTTCTTCCTTGCTTGTCTTTTACATTCTAGTTAATTTAAATTTGCATCTTATAATGCTGCCAATATGTTGTGCATCTTAAACTGTTTATCCTAAAATGTTCCTTCTACATCAAGCATGTCAAACTCAAAGGCTAACACGGGCTAAATAAACAAGGCATGCGGCCTGTGGGCCACAAGTTTGACATGCTTGTTCTACACAGTGCAGTTCATCAGGACCCTACTATATATAGTCTGCAGATAATAAAACTTAATCAGTTTGGAACCACATGGTTCTGAGTTATGTGAAAAGCTGAGACTGAAGATATAATGCATTTATATTCTTTGAATTTATCAACTGGTTGCAAAACTAAAATGATATTTAGTTTTACAGGGTCATTTTGCTTTCCACATGCATACAAAATCAGTTTAGAAAAAACACACAAACGGAATTATATCCCTGGTCGGAGCCCAAGTAGCTTCAAATGATTTTTAGGTATCTTATTTTATGGCATGCTTTAATGCATAATAATCCTAAAAAGTTATATAGCATTGCTAATGAGTTTGGCATACTTAAGAAATTAAATTTAAAAAATATTTTTTAATTAATTTCAGAGAGGAAGTAAGAAGGAGAGAAAGAAATATCAATGATGAGAATCATTAATTGGCTGCCTCCTGTGCCAGGGATTGAGCCCACAACCCAGGAAGTACCCTGACCGGGAATCAAACTGTGACCTCCTGGTTCAGATGTCGACATTCAACCACTGAGCCACATCGGGCAAGACATTAAACTTTTAAGAAAAGCTCCAACCAAAATGAATCTGCCATACAAATCTGCTTTGGAAAAGAAATTTAAGCAACAGCTTTCACAAATTTTTAAAAAGTAAGTTACATTAAGCCAAGGTTGTCATTTAAATTCAAGTCCCTATTGCTGAGTATGATGCATGATTAACTGGTATTACAATTACAGGAAAATATAAGCAAATGTTAATACCTTAATACAGAAATAAAAAAAAATAAAAGAAGAAAAATATAAAAAAGCAGTGGAAACCTGAGTAAAAAGAAGCCAGGAAGCAGCTGAAAAAGAGACCGGTTCACTGTGAGAAATGTAAACCTCTCAGACAGTGCTACGGCCCCGAATCCAACAGCTCAGGAACAAGGCCAATTATTGCAAATATTAAACATATATGGTGAAGCTGCAAACTTTTCAAAAGAGTCATAAGAATGAAAGCAGCTAGATAGAAAATAGCCAGGGCCTCACAAACCTAAAATCTTTGCTATAATCACTACTTGCAGAAAAAGGTTTCTTTATAAGTAGAAAACAAGCTTCTTAAATGTAGTATACTTTATAGTCTCCAAGCTGTAAATTTTATGATAAAGAGTTAGGATAACAAATCCTTATTGTAACTGGCAAGTAACCAGATCTTTTGAAACTGTTGTTTATATGACTTATTTCTTCATAGTAACTCACTTGCAAACCAAGTCTACGATATTCCTATCTTTCTGAACTAGAAACGACTCATGAGATAGACACACAGAATCATGGAATTTTAGGATACACAGAGGCTTCAAAAGAAAACAGAGTAAAACTCCCTTACTTGGAAAACGAGTCAATTAAAACCCAGAGGCTTTAGGTGATACACCTAAAAGGAGTTAAAAATAAATAAGGGCTGCCAGGATTGACTATATTATTTTCTTTCATGTCATATACTACACTGTCCAAAAGCCTTATGTAGCCAGAATTTCTTCTGCTTCTGTTGATAGAGGTTGACTACCTTGTTTTCAATGACCAGGGTAGTTTCACATTCATAACAAAGGATCTGTTTATTCATTTGTAATGTAAGTACTAATTTCAATTCAGTTCCCCTAACAGACTGGTGGTTTATTGTCAAGGAGACCAATAACTGTTGTGGTCCTCTGGCAGACACACAGATAAAAGACCAAAGCATTTCATCCTTTCTCTCTGTCTCCAAAAAGGGAAAATAGAGAAAATCCTATAATTCATTGCTCATACCCTACTTGGTCTAAGAATAGCTGATTCAATTGGGTTTGTTAATTTATGGCAAAAATTTCTTTACATTTATGTACAAACATTTAAAAATTATTTATTTGTGCCTCAGTGAAGAAAAATTGTTCCAAATCTATCTATGCTTTCATTATTTGGATGAATAATTCACCCTTTCAGGCAATAAAAGAAAACAATATGCTTAACTAAATGTTTGAAGAAAAAATGTTAAGATGTGACAGTTTCTAATGTTAATCAGTTCAGGATGATAAAATGTAGGGAAATGTAAGGAAAAAAATAAGAAAAAGAAAGTCTGATGCTTACATATAAAAATGTAAATTATTGGGACAGAAATTGCTATAAATCTGTGAAAAAAATCAGAAACAAAAAACTGCCTGTCCATTTCCCAATGCATTTCACTTTTCTATTAGGACATTGCAAACATAAATGCATATTTTCTATAAGTTTTGACATAAAAAATAGGCATTAGCTAACTAAAAAAATCTTTAGATTATAACTTTTAAAAATATTAAAATCCTACAAATTCTATAAAAAGTTTCAATATAATTACTAACACAGTACTTGGCACTGACACTACCAAACTTTTCTTTCAAGGGAAATTTCTATTGTACTTATTGGCATGACAAAATTTCTTTTCCTTTCAGATAAGGATCTTTTGAGGATTTATTTCTCCTCTTCTTCGAACTAAATGAGATTAAACTAACTTAAGCTGTAAGTTAAGAGGATACTACATAAAATAACTGGGAGGACCAACTCTAGTTTTAAAGTGCTATATTATGACTGACTCTATGAGTCAAACACAATGTCAAAAACTATTTAGACATATTCTCTCTATGCCTATATTATCTAGATGCAATCTAATTTACTTGTTTTCTTCCTTTTCGCCATAACTAGCATTAGAAAAAAACCCCAACTTAAAATATGACTGATGATAAACACATGCTATCTGTTATACACATATTTGGCCTTCAATTAGGAATGTCATTTTCAGTTGCTTTCCATTAAGTGGGAATACTTTTTGCAGAGATGCATTTGTGTAAGCACACTGGTCCCATCTGTGACTAAAAGTTTTAATTTTGTAGGCAATTTGACCATGAAAAATTTAGTCATGAAAAAGAAGAAAACTAATTAGCTCACACAAATGCAGAACAAAGGATCTTTGATTGCCTCATTAATAGGGTGTACTAACGAACTATGTTTATTAGTCACACACAAGGTGCTTGAATGGGGGATGTGAAGGTAAATTTCTTTTTTTATTATCATGGCATCAGCTATAATCTATATTATAATTTTCAGAGAAAAAAAAATCAAGACCAAAACAACATAAAAAGTCAGTCACTGAGTTTCTAGGAAAACTTGGAAAATAATGTCTATAAGAACAAAACAACAATGTATTAAAGCTAACGGGCAGTTTCACAACCAATGCTTCTATGTATAAAGAACAACTTTTGATGCCTTTAAAAATGATACCATATATTAGTTTACATTATAAGTGGACTATATTATTAAACTTTAGGAACTAAAGAGTCATATTGGAGACAGAGGGCAAATTCAAAGTTGGCTAAAAGGACCAATACTTGTACTCAACATCCTTTAGAAGAGTATCTGTCACACACACAGTTCAGGGCCAGTAACACACAAAAAGGAAGAACCTACATATGAAGTATAAGACAACTCCTAGGAGCAACAGAGTAAGGACTGGAACTTCTGTAGGGATAGTAAGTAAGAGGCCTGTCTTGTAAAAGAAGCTGGTAAGTCACAATGATCACTGAAGATTGCACAAGTGATGAGAAGCAAAAACACTTCTCATCAGATAGTGTAGTGCAGGAATCTTCCTTCAGAAACTGCAGTTCCCCTTCAGAGCTCTAAACAATATCACGAGCAAGAAACTGCCTAAGTGGAGGTGAGGGATTATGTGGCCTCACTGAGTCACACTGACATAGTCAGAGAGCCTCCAATGGTGACAAGCAGCCAAAAAGGCTCCAAAGAAACCAATAAAAATTCTACTTCAATACCTAGAGTTATGAAAAGCTGAAAAAACAAAACAAAACAAAAAACCCTTATTCAACATCCAGGGCAGAAGTATACATCTAGGTGGGAAGCATGGAGAGAAATGAGTTCAGTAAAATAAGATAGTTTTATATATTGAGATCAATTGTTTTCACTGAATGCTTAAAAAAAAAAATCTTTTTGAGTTTTAATATATTTGATATGCCTAGTATTAGATTGCATTTGATTTTAAAATATCTTTCACTATACAACCAGCAAACTGAAAAACAAAACACAAACATAAATATTTAAGAACATTATTTGTTTTAGAAGCATTCCTACTAACAACTGAGACATAAAAATTTTTCACTAGGCTAGAGTTCTCAATCAAATTTAGGTTCAGGAGACATTTTAACTTGTCTTGCCTTTCTTTTGTCGTTACCACTGGTGCGTTACCAGGCTGCAAAGAAGGCTTCTTCAACTACAATGGCAGTGAGCACCAGGAAGCTTCTCATCATACTGCTCAGCCTGGTACAACCTGCTCACCATGGCCCCCATCCCTTTAGCATAAAAACCTGACCATGTGGTATTTGCTAGCATGTGCTAAGATTTGCCCACTCTTTTACATCACAGGCTTGCATATTCATATGTACGTACATATCTGAGACCCTTGATAGACTGAGTGTGGCAGTATCTTAATAGTAAGACTGAAATAAAGCAGGATGAAAAAAAGCAGTCCCTGAGCACTAAGAATTAATGACAAAAATGCTACTCACCTGTCTGCTGTGCGGTCTGTAGCAGTGGTTGGTTTAGATGTGAATTGTAATGGACAGAAGGGACTGGGCGATACTGAGGTTGACTGGAGTGATAGTGGCCTGGAGCACAATAACAGGCTGGCATCTAGGATAAGTATTGAGAAAAAAAAAAAATCAATTTTATTTGCAATAAAACCTTTTTCTGCTATGTACATCAGAGTGTAATGAAGCAATAATTCTTTTCAAGACCAATCATCTGAAAACTGATTTTCTTAGCTTTAACTGAGAAAATTTTAAAAAATTTCAAACATACAATATAAGTACTACCACCAATTAGATTTAGTAGTTATTAATTTTTTTGGCCATATTCGTTTCAGATTCTCCTCTCTATGGAGATCTTCAAGAGTGCCCATTTCATTAGGAAACCAGCCAAGCAAAGAATTTATAGATCAGTTATAAGCCAAGAATCCCCAATATTTACTGTAATATTCTTCTGTCTTTGAAATATTAGACACAATAGAGATGTGATTCCTTAATTTTTCTTGGAGATATTAGCAAAATAGTATGTTCTGATTTTAGGTCTCATCCATTATTAAACTTTTCAGTATGTATGTATGTATATGTATAAATAATATTTTTTTCTTAAATAAAAGTCATACTCTTTATAGCAAAAATTATCATTATATTTTTGTTTATAATGTATATATATGACAACAATGGAGAGAGGGTAAAAAGAATTATATTGCTGCCCAGCTGGTGTGGCTCAGTGGTTGAGCATCAAACTATGAACCAGGAGGTCACGGTTCAATTCTGGGTCAGGGCACGTGCCCGGGTTGTGGGCTCGATCCCCAGTAGCAGATGTGCAGAAGGCAGCTGATCACTGATGTTCCTTTCTCTAACTCTCCTTTCATCTTTGACACAATACTTGCAGTTTTATTTAAACATCAGTTAGACTGTGATACTGTAAAGGTACATATAGTAGTCCCTAAATAAAGTACACAAAAACAAGATTCAAATGGCTATAGATAAGAAATCAACAGAAGAAATACAATGAAACACTAAAAGACAAGGCCAGTGTGGCTCAGTGGATTAGAACAACGTCCCTTACAACAAGCACGACAAACTCACAGCACTTATTTGGCCCGTGTTAGCCTTTGAGTTTTACATGCTTCCCTTATAACAAAGGGTGGTGGGTTTGATTCCTGGTCAGGGCACATACCCCAGTTGGGGCATGTACAGGGGGCAATTGATCGCTGTTTTTTTCTCTCTCCCTGCCTCTCTCTAAAGCCAGTAGAAAGCATATCCTCAGGGGGTGAAAAAAACCTCACTAAAAGTGTTCAAATAATACAAAAAGCAGGAAAAGAAGCAGATAGAAATAAAATACAGATAGGACAAATGGAAAATAAATAGCAATATAGTATACCTGCATCTAACCATGTCAATACCTCATAAAAGATAAAAGAACTAGACACTCTGATCAGATTGTATAAAACAGCAAAAATAACTATATACTTACTGTATGTAAAAGACACTTTAGGTATAAATGCTGCTAATAAGAGGGTGAAAAAAACTAATTTAAATGCAAATCAAGTAAATGCTGAAGTCACTATATTAAAGTCAGATAAAATAGGTTTCAAGACAAAGGATAGTAATAGAAACAGAAAACCATTTCACAACATGAGCCAATATATCAGGAAGGTATAATAAATATGAATTGTTCAATGTATATTCAAATACTGTGTAAAGACTGATACAACTTAAGGGAGAAGTAGAAAAACAACTATCATTTTTGCTAGAACTATACAAAATTTACATAAGGATGTAAAAGATTTGAAAGACACTATCAACCACAAGACAATATCAATTAATAGTTAAAGAATACTAAATGCAGCCCTGGTTGGCTTGGCTCAGTGGTTGAATGTCCACCTATGAAACAGGTCACAGTTCAATTACTGGTCAGGGCACATGCCCGGGTTGTGAGCTCGATCCCCAGTCTGGGGTGTGCAGGAGGCAGCTGGTCAATGATTATCTCTCATCACTGATGTTTCTCTCTCTCGCTCTTTTCTCTCTCTCTCTTTCTCTCTCTCTCTCTCTCTCTCTTTCTCCGTCTCAAATAAATAAAAATATATATTTAAAAAAGTCAGTCAACATAATTCAATGCTAATAGAGTAAAGGGGAGTGGTTGGGAATAACATGATTACTTCAAAAGACAGACAAACATTTCACAAGATTTAATATTCATTCATGGGAAAAACTTTCAGCAAACTAGGAACAGATAATGTAACAGTTAGTGATTAAAGACTGAATTCTTTCCCCTATGCTTGGAAACGAGGGAAGTATATGCACTTTCAAAACATATTCAGGTTAATACATGGATTCTAGGGGAGATTTTCGCTAATGGTACATCTCATAAAGGGTTAATATTCAAAATCTATGAAGAACTGGTACAACCTTGCATGAAAAACAAACAAACAATTCAAAACTGGCAGAGGACCTAAACAGACATTTCTCCAAAGAGGACATATAGATGGCTGACATATGAAAAGATGTTCAATGTCACTAATCATCAGAGAAATGCAAATTAAAACCACAATGAGATATCACTTCACATCTATCAGAATGGCTATCATCAATACATCAACAAACAATGGTGGTAGTTTGGAGGGATGGGTGAAAAAGATGAAGGGATTAAAAGGTACAAATTGGCAGTCACAAAATAGTCCCGGGATGTAATGTACAACGTAAGAAATATAGTCAATAACATTGTAATAACTATGTTTTCTGTCAGGTGGGTACTAGACTTATCAGGGGGGAACACTTTATAAGTTATATAAACATCTAACCACTATGCTGTACACCTGGACTAATAGAATATTGAATGTCATCTTTAAATGAAAAAAAAAAATCTTCTTTAGAATATTTAAAGACATTAAATATTTAGGGGTTATAATTAATAAAATATGTGTAATATTTATATAATGAAAACTACAAAATATTGTTGAGAACAATTAAGGAAGATCTAAGTAAATGGAGAGAGATAACATGTTCCTGTACTGGAAAATTCAATAGTGTTAAGATGTCAACTCTCCCCAGACTGATCTATTCCTAACCCTTTGAGTGCCAACCAATATTCTAGGAACTATGCTAAAATTGCCAAGGCATTTTTGCTGATTTTACAGCAGTTTAGGAAAAAAATTATGAATCGCAAGTAAATGAAGTTACATATTCAAAAACTTAAAGAAGCCTTTACTACATTGACATATTTAGCAATATCATCATCACTAATAAAAGCAGACTTAGAACTGGATGCCATTTCGAAGCTTTGATAGTGCTCCCGACACTTTTGGCCAAAGACAGGAGGAGCGGGATTGTGCTCCCTGGCACTCTAGGGGTTAAAATGCATTTTATTTTTATTTATTTACTAGAGACCCAGTGCATGAAATTCATGCACTGGTAGAGTCCCTATCGGCTGGCTGCTGGCCAGGTACTCCCTCCCTTCCCCAGGTCACCTGCTGCGACAGCCTGCTGGGGCCTCCCTCCCTTCCCCTGGCCGAACTCCCAGATGAACTCTCGGTCAAGGGAACAATTTACATACTATGCTTTTATTATATAGGATTTTGGTTCCTATATAATATATTTTTTATTATTGACTTCAGAAAAGAAGGAATAGGAGAGAGAGATAGAAACATCGATGATGAGAGAATCATCATTGATTGGCTGCCTCCTGCAGGCCCCACACTGGGGATCTAGCCCACAATCTAGGCATGTGCCCTGACTGGGAACTAAACTGTGACCTCCTGGTTCATGGGTCAATGCTAAACCACTGAGACATGCCAGCCAGGCAAAATGCATTTTATTTATTTAGAAGAATGTTTTTTATATACATATACGTATATTTTTTTTATTGAATTCAGAGAGGAAGAAAGAGAGAGATAGAAACATCAATGATGATGAGAGAGAATCACTGACTGGCTGCCCCCCCTCCCCCCCCCCCCACAATCCAGCCCACAACCTGGGCATGTGCCCTTGACCAGAACTGAACTTATGACCCTTCAATATGCTGGCTGAAGCTCTAGCCACTGAGCCAAACCCACTAGGGCTACATTTTATTTTTATAGTGTATTTACTTTAATGTGTTTCTCTTACGCAAATTATAAAAAACAAACCTGAGTCAGAAGGAAACTCCAAGATCACATAATTTACTCAACTGTCATGATGTTGTCTAGCATGCACTTGAAAATCTCCAGAGAAAAGAAAATGCTGACAAGTTTTGCTTACACATCCTTATAAATATTTAAAAAATATTTTTATTGATTTCAGAGAGGAAGGGAGAGGGAGAGAAACAGAAACATCAAGGATGAGAATCACTGATCGGCTGCTTCTTGCACACCCCCTAATGGGGATCCAGCCCACAACCCAGGTATGTGCCCTGACCCAGAACTGAGCTGTGGCCTTGATGCTCAACCACTGAGCAACACTAGCTGGGCCTGCACAAATTCTTTCCCTGTGAAATTAAAAATAAACACTCTAATGTAGCTCTAGCCAGTTTTGCTTAGTGGATAGAGCATCAGCCTGAGGACCGAAGGGTCCCAGGTCAAGGGCACATACCTGAGTTGCAGGCTCAATTCCCAGCCTTGGTCCGGCCTTAGTTGAGTGCAGGCACCAATTGATGTTTCTCTCATTCTGTCCCTCCCCCTCCCTTCCACTCTATCTAAAAATCAATGGAAAAATATCCTCAGATGAGGATTAACAAAAAACAAATAAACAAAAAGACTCTAATGTAAAAAGTGATCTTAAATGAAAAGCCTCCGTGGAGAGGGAGGTGAAAAAGCAACCTACCTGTGGTGAGGGCTGCTGAATATATCCCTGCTGCTGGAGCACAGGCTGGCTGACAGGGTGACCAGAAGCAGAATAGCCAGCAGTAGGGACTGGCTGCCCAGGTGGCAGTGGGGGAGGGGGAGGAGGAGGGGGAGGAGGAGGTGGAGGTGGCAGTAGTGGAGGTGGAGGAGCCGCTGTCATGATATAACCAGACTGCTGTGGGGACTGAAGAACAACAGTGGACTGGAACATAGTAGCATGAGGGTCAGAACCATCTGCAGATGGCTGGCGGGCAAGACTCATGTGGCTAAACTGAGACCCAAGGTTGTCCTGATAAAAAAGGAAAAAGTCAAGTCAGTATGCCTTCTGTACACAGACCAAACTTATCAAAGAAAACTATTTTTCTTGTATTTTAAGATGAGTTGCAATAGTGTATATTATGGAAATCATATATCTTTATCAGACATGACTTAATAAAAGAACAGCTTCAAGAAAATTAAACTCTAAGGCAGGAAGGAGGAATATTACAATGCTGTCACTACAAATTGCTTATAAAATACATATAATGGAAATGCATAGCATGCAGAAGAGTAGGGTACAACAACATTTCACACACAAACAATAAAAAAACCACTTATTTAAATAAAGATTAAAAGCACATTAGCATAGAAACCCAACCTGAAACCTGTATGTTGATGTTGACCAATGTCACCTCAATAAATTAAAAAAAAAAAAAAAAAAAAAAAAGCAAGCACATTAGGATGTGAAAGTGAAACTGAAAGGACTTTAAACTCCAGGTAACTAGCAAGGCACAGTACTAATTATTCTTCACTTTAAATCATCACCCCTCTTCCTAGAAGGCAAGATTCACTAAAAGCATCTTTGTGTTTCCTATTATACCTAACAAATATACTAGCAGAAATTAAATAGAGAATCTATCTACCTTGTCTTTTTTTCTAATTTCTCAAAAATAATTTAGCCCTAATTCTATTCTTCCCTAATCTGTTTCAGTCTGTTCCTTAAGTCACATGTCATTCAAATGAAATCCAAACAACAGTTTCTTACTGCTCTTGCTACTTGGTGAGCAGGCAATGGTGCCCAGTCAAGATAGGGTTATGATTTATGTTACCTGACAAATGTTTCTCTGGCTCAACAACATAAATACCAGTTCTGACTAGTCTAGATAATATCATCACTGAAATGAAAATAACAGGGTTAAAATGGCATTTCCCTGCTCCTGAGGAGCCGCAGATCGGCAACAATATATACCACATCTCCACATTTTGTTAAGAAGAAAACTGAAAAAAAGTTAAAAAATTGGGCAGTGGAGTTGTCAGATCAAAGTTAACATGCCTGCAATTTCTAGTCTGCTGGTTTTTTCCAAAGTAAATTAAGACTATAGTGAAGATAAGGGATGAAAATGGGAACCTGATTTAATGATTGAAAATATATGGTTTTACTCCTCCCAAATAGCTGCTCTGTTCTCCTAACTCAATGCATAGTGTCAGAAGGGAAAAATATACTTAAGTACACTAGCTGTAATTACCATTATTTTAAAAAGAGATACCATAACTGCACACCACCATTACAGTCATCTTGGCAAAAAGTCAATTTTGTTATTCCAATGATCTGCCATTTTTCAAAACATTTTGAGGCTTTTATGTTATTCCTTTTAATGTTGTCAATCTTGAAAATGCTGGCAAAATTTCACTTTTTCAGCCTGGAAGTGATTTTTGAAAATCATTAAGAGCCAAGGCTGGTAAATAAGGTTGCCTCCAGCTCTAAACAAAACTACCCCAAATAAAACAAAACATTTCTAAAAAGTGTAGAGTGATTTTAAGTTATAGCTAGTACTTTAACTTGGAAAGCATTTTTAAAATGTGATAGGGAAAGAATGTTATTAGGGAGATTCATTTTAAGGGAAGAAAACTGATATTTACCGAATATGTCATGTTAGGCACTATGCAAGAAGTACTGTATATCACTGTTTCACATGGTTACTAACTACAGGCCACACAGAAAACACACAGCAGAGGTGCAACGGAGCCCTACGGGCGGTATAACTTGGGGGCATACTTGGGATTAAAGGAAGTACCATTACTTTATAGTCACAGATTAAATATCTAGAGATCTTCTTAGAAATTTACTTAGGAGGATGTCTCTCGCAGTTTTAAGTTTCAATTGACCCTAGTAACTGGAAGTAAGTATACTGGGCCTATGGCTTTGGGGATAGACTAGAAAGCCTATCTCCAGATGAAAGCTGCCATCCCAGAATTGCAGAGAGCTGCACTGACCTCAATGAGAAAAGTAGTGAAAACATGTTAGGACTAGAATTGTCTACATGAAAATTATTTCATTATGAAAGGAAGGAAAAGATTAGGGATTATACAATCACTGCGATAAGCAAATATAACAAATATTTTATGAAAGAAAATGAATTTCTTTCTAATACAGGATAGAAATACTTTTCAGTATATATGTATCCCTGACTTTAATCACATTCACGAGCCTTTATCACACATCCATCCACAAAAACAATGCAAGAGGTGAAGAGAGAAATAGTACCACAGAGTATTGCTGGGTGGGTGAGATTGGCAGGAGCGGGGATGGGTAATGAGCTGGAGAGTACGAAATAGGCTGTGAAGAGGACTGCAGAAGACAAACAGACTAAGGAATAACGGGTTGGCAAACAACGTTAATGTCAGAATAAAATATTAGAAGAATTGCAAAAAATGGAAAGTCACAAGAGCCAAGGCAATAGCTTAAACTAGATTTATAAAGTCATCTTCAACACAACAATGTAGGAAACAACAAAAGCAATGCTAAATAAGGAAACTCTACATAGTAAAATTTTTGAGAATATACCTATGCTTAAATTTAATACACAATTAGAAAGATAACTTTGTCATAAAAAGATTAGATTCACTGAAACAGGTACTTTAAATCCTATTTTCTAACCAAGACCCCTGGTTTAGGTCAATCAAAACAAAACCACTTTTCCTTCCTTCCTGATTTGATGAAGGGGCTGCTCTATTTAGTTATATAACACTAAATAATAAAATAAAAACTTCACTTATTTTGTTATCAGACAGTAATACCTTACATAACATCTATGCCAGCTACTGCCTTTATTTGATATGGCACAATGAGGTACTCTTTTGGAACCAAAGTGCATAAATTTTTAAAAATTTTTAAAGAAAAATGTATTAGAGGTACCATTAAGAACAACAGCCTAAAGAAACAACACACACATACATACAGGCACATGCAGACACACAAACACATCTCTTTTATATATGGAAGATAAACACACCTTTCTTGTAAGTAAAAATTTTTATTAAAATCTGAGAAACCTGCCCTGGCTGGAGTGGCTCAGTGGTAGAGCGTTGGCCTATTCACTGAAGGGTCTTGGGTTTGATTCCTGGTCAAGGGCACGTACCTGGGTAGCAGGTTTGTTCCTTAAACCCATTGCTTGAGGGAAGCAACCAATCGATTCCCCCCCCCCCCCCACACCTCCTCTCTCTAAAAATCAATGGAAAAAATATCCTCAGGTGAGGATTAACAAAACAAACAAACAAAAAGCTGAGAAAACTAGTTCTTGCAATGTTTTTCACTAATGAAACACGCTTGCATTTCAGGGGAAAAGTTTCCCAAAGGCACTCAATAAACAGGTGTTTTGAAAAATAAAAAAAACTTTAATCATTCCTAAATTTTATGGAATATAGCTGGTCATCTATAAGCTAACATTGACATCTGATTTAGATTTCCAATCTTATATTTACATAGTTTATTACAAAGGGGGTAATATACATATTGGCTTAAATATTATTATAATCATAATCCATTTTATATGTGGGCAATCAGGCTAAGGTGAGTTAAGTGACCTGTAGTCAGTCATGTTAGCAAGCAATGGAGGAACCCAGGCAATTTTATCTAACAAAAACTCTTACTTTTGGTCAAAATGTATATATATGAATCTCCCTCTGGAATATTTCTAAAGAGAATACTTCAAAATTGCAAAATAAACCAACGGTATTAGGGAATAATCTAAAAAAGAAGCAATTCTTATGACAATTAAGCTGTATAAACGAGTTGCATTTTTACCATAATATCAACCCAAGAGTTTCTAAAAATATGAAAGGGTTATATTAGCTTGGAACCTTACAAGAAAATCTAGAATTAAAGTAAAAGTACTAAAAAAGGTAAAAGCTGAAAGACCTTTGAAGTACCTACTGTTTCTTCACTAACTTCTCAACTAGAAATGAGCAAGCTTCCTCATGGATGACAGCACCTATCACACTAAATGAGGTGTAGCTTTAGAAGTTCCAAATACAGGGTACTGAATGTGTTGTTAAGGTAGACAATCACTAAGATATAACTTTCTTCCAGACAACTTGACCTACTATGTAGGTGTCAGATGAAAGACAAGCTTTAGCCTGCTCTGGGATAAATGAAAGAGCACTATGAGCACCAAGGGTATGTATCAAAGTCTACCAGAGTCAAGTGGTAATGAGAAAAATGTGGGTTAAGGAAACTGGCTGATTAAAGCAAAAAAAAAGATTTTTAATGTTTTTATTATTATTATTATTATTATTTAGAGAAAGGAAGGGACAGGGATAGAGAGAAACAGGCTGCTCTCTGCGGGAATAGAGCCCGGAACCCGGGCATGTGCCCTGACCAGTAATTGAACCAGTGACCTCTTGGTTCCCAGGTTGACGCCCAACCACTGAACCACACTGGCTGGGCATTTTCCCCCTAAATATATTTTTATTGATTTCAGAGAGGAAGGGAAAGGGAGAGAGAAATAGAAACATCAATGATGAGAAAGAATCATTGATCGGCTGCCTCCTGCATGCTCCCCACTGGGGATCGAGTTTGTAACTCAGGCATGTGCCCTGACCTGATGGGAATCAAACTGTGACCTCCTGGTTCCCAGGTCAATGCTCAACCACTGAGCCACGCCGGCTGGGCCAAAGTAAAATTTTGATACCACTAAAAAAAAAGAAAGCCTTAGCACCTCCTTTTCCTATTTAAAATGTATCTGGCTGCAAAACAACACCCATTTAAAGTGACTGGTTACAAGAAATGTAGCCCATCTGCAGGCTTTGGAAATCACCGCATTCTTTTGTGTGGTTATTTGAAATTCCATTGATGATTATCTCAGTGTGCAAACGATAGTTACTGAGTATCATCTGTTCATCCATTCTCTATTTTTATAACTGATGATGAATTATGAAGAATGCAAGGAAAAAGAGCCATGAAATTTGGTGCATACCCTAAAATTTCAAATTATAATCTATTAAGGTATTTATTTCTAAACTAAATGGTCTACGACACCTTCATTTACAATAGTCTCATAACTAAATCAAAGTTATTTTTTTAAACAACTTTTTTTTGTCTTAAATTTTACATATGTCTTCCAAGTTATTTTTAAGAGGTATATAACCATAGATAAATCCTTAATAATTTTTGAAGCTACCAGACTAACATTATTTTAACTGAATTAAATAAAATGAAAATCAGTCCTATAAAGCTCCTAGTGAAATACACAGTGCTACAAAAACTACCACATGATAGTAAAATGAAAGAAAAACACTTTAGGATCAAGTTGAATTAAGCTAAGGCAGAGAAGAATAGGGAGGGAGTTTTAAGCAGTTTAATATGTAACTGGGTATATATAATCAAACAGGTTGGGAAGTGACTATGGGAGTCTTTGGAAATAGTTTCAGGCAATTTCCTCTACATATATGAATTCATATTTATAGTCTTAGGAATGCATCAGAAACCGTGACGTCCATTTACTTTAGATAAACTGCCTTGCCCAGTATTGGGAGTGTTAATTGCCAGAAGAACAACTATTTTCAGTCCTTCAAAATATTTGATAACTTTATCAAATTGCTGTACATTCTTCATTCCTACAATACAAATGACATAATTTGTGAGCAAAACTAATGAAAATTCTCTAGTTCAAGTTTATCGCCATACTTCTTTCACAAGAAATTACTCTGCATTTTCTCATTAATGAAATTTTTAGTGCAGAACTTGAGCAATTCAACTCAGTTTCTTCAAACTGCTGATCTGTTGAATTTTAAAACAACACACTTTCCTCACTGGGATAATGAACAATCTTAGTTTTATTTTTATACCTCGTGTCCATTTCTTGCTGTTATGAAATAGGGATAAAATACTTACCAGAGGCTCATGACATACAAAATTCCCTTTCCCCCCATATATATTCTGTATTTATTAGCTGAAAAGACCTTGAAGTTAACCTGCCTTCCTACAAGTAGTGAGTGGGACATCACTGGTGGAGAATATTAAAGTTCTAAGAGGTACTTACATGGGCTATCTCAATTATACTTAGTGAATTTAGTCCCAAATATGCAAAGGCAGGTGAACTTAGCATTATGTAATCGTGGATATGTGCACCTGTGAGAAAATGTGATTAGCTGGTTGTTGTTGAGGTGGTGGGGGTGGCAGAGGTGGCTGTGCAGGTCCAGGCACTTGGGTTCTAATGGGCTGTTGAGTCATAGGAGGATTATACACAACTGGACTCCCATCTGGGTTTATGAAGGGCTGACCTAAAAAATTTAAAGAGGAGGAAAAAAAACCTCATTTACAACAGAACTTGAAAATAGGTCATTCTAGTAGCAATTTACAGTACATGTCTACAATCTTTAGTAACAATTCCAAAGCCTCAAGTTTTTGAAAAACAAAAGATTTTCCTAGCTTAGGAGGCAAAGTCTGACCTTATATGAAGCTATTAATAGTTTTTCCACACTTAGAGTAAATATTCCAAAGTTTCTGCAGTGTTTTATTGTAAGGCTGCTACTCCAGAATTTCTCAAGTTTACTTTATAATACACATTATTTTCCTAAAGCCTCTGGCTTCTGGATACATCTTGCTCTAGTTACAAGATTGTGGTGCTTTAGTGCTGCAATACATTTCAGTTTCAAGAACATCGACTTTGGGATACTAGAACATTATTAATTAGCCTTGATTAGGTGGTGGGAAATTGCTAATTTACAGGCCACATTGTGTATATTTAACTAATTAAATTAAAACTGAATGAAAATTTAAATGGTTGACAGCATCGAATTTTAAACATAGACTTGATGGCAGTATCCTTATTTTGTAGTTTCTAACTTGTTAAAAATGGTAAATAATTTTTAAATTCTAAATTATTTTCTAAAATAATCTTTTTTAATTTCAGTGAGATTTATTGATAGCTAAGAGAGAAAACTAGAGAGCTTTAATATTGATTCTGAGGCTTATTTTCAGTGCTTACTATCAGAGGGATATTTTAAGTAACTGAGTAAATTTTACTCTTTCTCTACACATATTCTAAACAACTTTTTCTAATATTTTTATTGTGGGAAAATAACCAACAAAGGGAGATAAAAAAGGAAATAAATCCCCCATAATCTTATCATTAACAATTTGGATACCTTCTTTCAGACTTTTTCAATACACATATAGATTCAAAGATTAGTATTTTTCCTCACTACACACTAGATTATATTTTTTTAAAAAAGACTATGTGAAATAAATTGACCACTGACTATGATACCCATTTAGTATGGGAATAATACAGAAGAAAATAAGAGAAGTTTGAATAATAGTTTCTTACATTGCCTTCAAAAGATCATTTCTTCCATGATAAGTCCCTACTTTTAAAAAATCTATGACATAAAATAATATTTGGAAGAGAAGAATCCACTGTGCCATTGCTATCAAGTGGGAAAAGTCCTCCAAAGTCAAATTATTTTTATCAGTTTCCTGACAATTTATGTGCTGGTTATAAATAACTAAAAACAAGTCATGCTGCATATTTGCTGATTGTTCATTTTGAAAATAAGCAAAGAAGTCACTTTTGAACTCATTTTAAATTAAGAATACAATTTAATTTCAGATTGACTAGTTCCTTACTCTGTTATTCTCTACTCAATAGAATCAATCATGTTACCAAAAATATATTAACTGATGTGTTTTGAATGAAAAAGAATAGGGAATAGTGAAATACTAAATCATCTTACATCCTGCACCAGGAAATAGGAAATTTAATAATTTAATAAACCTGAAGGCTAAGAAGATTACTTATTAAGCAAAACCTGAATTTCTAAAGAGTCAGTTATTTAATTCAATTCTTGTACAGGAACAGATGTTTGAATACTTTTATCTTAAAAAACAAAAAAAAAGAAATACAAATGAAATCTGAAAGCAATGAATTCAAAGCCATGGCTTTCTCTACAACAAACAAAAGGAACATTCAGCGACCCTGACACTCTCACCTGTAACTACCTTGCTTGACTACTACCATCTTGATGTGACCAGTTTTTAAGGAAGGTTATCAAATGCTGTAGGTTTTCATTATTTTACCAAATAACTGGGCTATGTTGTTTTGAAGAGAGACCAAGACTTCTTGTGATCTTTTAAAAGATCGCATTTTTTCTACATAAGCCATTTTTGACAATGGACATAATGAAATGTATTATAACTGTATCTCTCAGAGGTTGTTTCCCTATCTGTAAATGAGAATTTAACCTACCAAACTAGGTTGTCATCAGGATTATAAATAATGTATTTAAAGCACTTAATACAGTATATGACACACAGTAAATGATCGGTATATGCAGATCATTTTCTAATTGCAAAGAATATGTTTTGTCAATATTAATTCATAGTGACTACCTATTTTCTTATACTAAGAAGATTTCCTTTAGCTTTTCCTCAGCAGAAAACAATGAGCATATTCCGAAGGACTATTACTTACATGTTCTTTCCATTTCATTCTAACTTCTTTTTCATGAAATGCATACTATTTTCCCAGAATAAAGCTTTAATCAAATACAACTCTTTCTATCAAAGTTTAATCAAATAAGGCTCTTTCAAAGGTGGTTGTCTCATTTCTAGAAAATGAGTTGTTTTTAGTTAGAGTTAGGCCATTATTTGGCATAAAAGATGATGTCATAATGAAAAAAAATACTTTCTGATATAAATATGTCCTTTAACATATTTCTAGCATAAGTGTTTTTATTAAAGGAAAAATTTTATTCTAGGAAAAGTGCTAATTACGCATGAGAAGTAAATAGCTAACAACACATTTACAGACATCAGATTTAACATGTATTCTTTAATTTTCAGATAACTCCTGATATCTCAACTGAAATAAACACCTTTTTTTGGGATACCAACCTGTTTGTGGGTTGATCAGAATACTGCCAGGTGGTATGCCTGCCGCTTCCAAGGGAAGCAAAAAGAAGCTAGTGCTAGGAGATGCGACTTGCCCATTTAGGCCGCCATCAAAGGAAAGAGAACTATGAGTGCTGACAGTTGGATAGATGACAGGTGCGCCATGAGAAGACTGGCTGAGAGCTGTACCTGGAAGAGGCTGCTGGATGTGAGAAAGAGAGCCCGTAGATGACCCTACACTACCAGAAGACTCAGAACCTAGGGAGGAGTAATGAAAAATATGGATTTTTTAAACCTCATACAAAAACGCAGGTTTTAAATATGTAACAATAAAATTCACATTGCATAACATGTAGTTACCACATAAAAGCATTGGTTATTTTTGATTTACTGTACAATTTTGCTTTCCCTCCCCACAATGAACAAGTTTAATATGGCAAACTGATCATTCAAGTTGTTAGAGAAAATATGGCTAAAGCATGCAACTAGCATGTTTATAATACCAGCTACAGACAGTCACAAAAAACACATTACCCAAGACAACGAAGTTTTATACATTTTACCTTTCAAATTAACATCTAGGAATATACAGATTATAATTTTCCCAAAGGGAAAAGAACTTAGCACAGCCAAATGCCCAAAGCCTCTTATACCAGAAACCCCTTATCTATAAGAACACAGAAAGATTAGTAGTGTAGGAATTAAAAATAAAAGATAAATTCTCTATCAAGAGAAACACTTGTCAAGTTTCATTAAGACTTTCATTTTCAGCTCATAATTACAGCATTTTCCTATAATGTAAAGTCATCTCTCAATTTTTTATATCAAAGGGCAAAGATTGAATGAAAAATATCCAATTACTTATATTAGCATTAGCTAAAATTTATTTCTCACTGCACTTATTAAATTGATAATTTATTTATTTTTAACTGTTTTATGCCTCCAATTGATTTCATTTTCTATTACACTGAGATAGAAAATGTCACTGACTTTCAGTATAATAGCCAAAGGTGAATAAATAAAAAAAGAAAAAAAAAGATTTTGATAATGTATACAGTTAATCAAGTTTTGAAAAATGGTTTACTCTGGGATGGAGAATTAATCTTTAATAAATAAAATAAACAAATACGAGTACACAATACAGCTTCCCTCTGAAGGACTTCTATTTTAATTTGTGCCAAAATGACTATTGACCAGAACTATATAAAATATATTTTTTCCTATTGAGTTAAATAATATTTCTTTTTATCACTTAAAATAACACGGATAAGAAATAAATAGTATATGTTCTTAAAATGTTTTAATTTGGCAGTGTCTGAATGATGTTCTCATGATACATAAGTAGTTTTTTCTGTTATGAAGACTTTGTGGACATTTTTCAAATAAATGCATATTTGGTACATATGCTTATTTCTTATATTCATAAAACTTACCTATTTTTAGCAATATTCTATCATATACACCAAGACATTTTTAATAGCTACAATGTAAGTTAAAAATGTGACAAGTGCAATCGCAAGCATTAATATTTAAAGCATTGACTATGGTCGGGGATTAAAAAAATACTGTCACTTTCAAATACACACCTCTCCCTTCAATTGTTATCTGTACAACACCAAATGTTTGGATTGACCCAAATAGGCTAAAGAGAGGGAGCCACTTCTGCTGCTGTTCATGCTTATTTTGGGATAAAAATAAGGATCTACAATAGTGATGGCAAACCTATGACACGCGTGTCAGAGGTGACACGTGAACTCATTTTTTTTGGTTGATTTTTCTTTGTTAAATGGCATTTAAATATATAAAATAAATATCAAAAATATACATCTTTGTTTTACTATGGTTGCAAATATCAAAAAATTTCTATATGTGACACGGCACCAGAGTTAAGTTAGGGTTTTTCAAAATGCTGACACACTGAGCTCAAAAGGTTTGCCATCACTGATCTACAAGGATCCTGAGAGCTCTCTTAGTATTGAAGTCAGTTCGTAAAAGTGTAAAGAGAATATGTTATGAGCCTAAATGTTACGTGCTCTAAATGCAAAGAAGCTAAAAGAATGAGGATGTTATTAAAATTTCCACTCATTCAATGCAATTACATCATATTATTTTTTTTTAGTTTCAAGTTTCTCAAAAACTTCTCAGCAATTCTATTCATTTTTGACTGTCAAATGAAGAACTTTATCGTAAAAAATCCAATCAATAATTGTTAGTATTAGCTGAAAATGTAATCACTGTTAAATAATCCTATGTGAGAAACCATCCCCTTCCAACTATAAGCAATGAAGAATTTCCAACCACCTCTGGGTACTCAAACGTTTAAGAGATGACATTTCATTGAACCAACATGATTAAATTTATGTTACAATAGAGAATGAATCTTAATGTCAATAAACATTATCTTTAAAGTTCTTTGAAAGTGCTCAATGCACTGCTGATAGGAATTTTATATTTTAGGATAGTTATATAAACCGTATGAAACATAAAGAACTCAAGACAACATTAGGGAAACTAATGTTTTGACTGCACAGGTCTAGACAGATATTTATACCTGCTTTCGAAAGCCTACTTATGCTTTTGCTGCTTCCAGAACTATCACCCCTTGTCAGCACGGAAATTCCACTGAAGCTGCTGGCTTTGGTTACAGCGGGTTTGAAGTTGCGGAGAGAGCTGTCTGAATCTGTGCTGCTCCAGGGCCGTGGCTCAGAGTACTTCAGCTCATTCTCAGTGCTGCTTTGATGGCTATTTGTTGATCTCCCTGAAGCATCTTTATTAACTCTGTAATTTAGAAATAAAACTTTGAAAAGTGAATAGAGACAAAAACTAAAAGAAAAAAAATGCTTTATTTTTCAATACTGTATGAAAGCATGCTTACAATACCTAAATATCTGGCGTCTCTGCTGGGTACTACTGGCATCCTCATCTTGGATTCTGTTGGCATTTTAATAAGACATTTTTATTTCTATTAGCATCAGTCAGATTGTTACCAAAACAAATGTTAAAAAATTTCCTCACCTTTTGTCAATAATATAATTCTCTTGGGAACACAGGGACTAGAAAAAAGAATAGATATATAAAGTTGAGCTTTTGCAAATACAATGCCATCTATAAACCAATGATGACAACAAAAGTCAAGTGTAATAATTAAAAAGTATTATTACAGCCCTAACCGGTTTGGTTCAGCGGGTAGAGTGCCAGCCTGCGGACTCAAGGGTCCCAGGTTTGATTCTGGTCAAGGGCATGTACCTTGGTTGCAGGCATATACCCAGTAGGGGGTGTGCTGAAGGCAGCTGATCGATGTTTCTCTCTCATCAATGTTTCTAACTCTCTATCCCTCTCCCTTCCTCTCTGTAAAAAATCAATAATATATATATATATATATATATATATATATATATATATATTATTATATTATTATTACAAACCCATCTCCCCCGCCAAATCCACATGGTGATAAAAGTACACAAATAGATGATACTGGATTTTATTTTGGCTTGGTAACACTGTGCTTGAAGCCATCCATTTTTATGGTACAAATTAATTTGGAATTAAAATATTCTCTTCCAAATACATGAATCCATTATTATTATACTAGTGGCCCAGTGCACAAAATTCGTGCGTGCGTGCGTGTGTGTGTGTGTGTGTGTGTGTGTGTGTGGAGGGGGTGGGTGGTGGTGGTGGTGGTGGTTCCCCTCAGCCCAGCCTGCACCCTCTCCAAACGGGGGATGTCCGACTGCCGGTTTAGGCCTGATGCTACAGGGACCGGGCCTAAACCAGCAGTCGGACATTCCTCTTGCAATCTGGAACCGCTGGCTCCTAACTGCTCACCTGCCTGCCGGCCTGATCGCCCTAACTGCTCTCCCTTGCTGGCCTGATCCCCCTAACTGCTCTGCCCTGCTGGCCTGAACCCCTTAACTGCTCTGCCCTGTTGGCCTAATCCCCCTAACTGCTCTGCCCTGCTGGCCTGATCCCATTAACTGCACTCCCCTGCTGGCCTGATTGCCCCAAACTGCCTCTGCCTTGGCCCCGTCACCATGGCTTTGTCCAAAAGGATGTCCAGAAGTTGTTCAGTCTAATTAGCATATTACCCTTTTATTAGTATAGATATTCAAGGTATACACCAGTCTGTAGATTCCACCTCATTCACTCAACAAATACTTTGATCACTTGTAATTCACCTGTCAGGTGAAGCTAACTCTCTCATTCTGCAGCTATGGCTGTTGCTGTAGCAGTGAACAAGCAGCTATGCCTCAACACAGCTTTTCTCATGCTATGAATCTAGCTCAGGCAACCATCATTTTTTTGTTTGTAATATTACAACAGTCTTCTAACTAGTTTTTCAGCCACCAGACCAGGAGTCACTAAACTATGGTCAGATCTGTTTGCAAATAAAGTTTTATTGAAACACAGCCATGCTCATTCCTTTATGTACTGTCTATAGCTGCTTTCATATTAAAAAGGCTTATTTCAATTGATGCAATAAAGATTATATGGCTTGAAAAAGTCTAAAATATTTATGATCTGGCCCTTTATAAGAAAAGTTTGCTGACCTCTGCTCTAGGTAAAAAGTTTGCTGATTTCCTGAACTAGCTTTTTGTGTCATCTGCCCTCTGCTTATTTGTCCAATCTAAATGTTCCTCATTTCCTGTGTCACTTAGCTATAATCCAATCTTTCTAAATCTTTCAATTTCTCATTGTCAAATTGTCCTTCATCAAATACTGACCCTCTACATGGAACACTTTAGTCCTTCAGGTCTCCTCTTGGAAGCTCACTCTCTCTCATTCCTCAGCTATGGTGTGTGGCGTTCTCTGCTGTGTCCTTATTTTACCTTTATGCCTCTACACAAATCACACACCATATTGCCATTGTCTGGCTACCCATCAAGGGTAAAGACAGTATATTGCTTAGAAACTAGACAGAAATGTATCTCATTTAGGCTCTGAGTTCAGAAGACCTGGGTTGAAATCCCAATTCTGTCATTTTAGCTGCATGATCTTTGGCTATTTTACTTAGTCTCCTGGAGCCTCAGTTTCTTATAAAACAAAAGTAATGATACTATCTATCATATAAAAGCTGTTTTGGGAAAAAACTATTGTAACTTTTCATGGGTATACTCTACTATGCTCAGCATAGCACCTACTATGGGTGCTCAATAAAATTTGTTGAATAAATATTGCAAATTTTTAACTGTTAGTCTAGATATTAATGTTATGTACTGTTTGTTTTTTGAATATAGAGGAAATTTCTATCTCTGGCAGTGATAACACTAACTACACACGTTCATATATCCTTGAATAGTAACTAGTACTGCACAGATGATTAACAGATATTGGTAAAACCAACCTGATTTTCTTCTCGAGTATCTGCATAAATTAACTAGCCACTTAAAAGGTTTCTTCCATATAAGCACTTACAAAGTGGAAAACAAATATTAATTTAAAAAATCAATTAGCTTTATTAAAAGAAAAAGTTATCTAAAAATCTCAAACATGGAAGAAAAAAAATATAAAAACTACTAGGGGCACAGTGCACAAATTCATGCACCTTGAAATGAACTGTGGGCCACGAGGCTGCAGTGGGCACAGGGGCAGGTCTTGGCCCATCCTCTGTGACCCAGCCTGGCCCCTCCTGCTGTGGCCCCTGGTCCCGTCTGTTGGCAGTCCTGCTCCTGCTGTTCCGAGGCACTAACAGCGCTAGCCTCGCTTGCACCTGCTGACGGTGCAGAGCAATTGGGGCAATGCAACAGGTGCGAGTGGGACCAGTGCCGTCAGTGGATGCGAGCAGCGGCTGCTGCCCCGATAGCTCCTTAGGAGCAGGGGGAGATGGGGAAGTCCCCAGGGGTGATTGGGACCGGCAGCCCACTGCTTGCACTCGCTGATGGAGCCGAGTGATCATGCTTGGCGTCGGCAGCAGGTGCAAGTGGCAGCTGCCAGCACCAATCACCCCTTAGGAGCAGGGGAGGTGGAGAAGCCCTGAGGGGAGATCGGGGCCGGCAGCCATCATTCACACCTGTTGACAGCACTGAGAGATTGGGGCCAGCGCTGGGTGTTGGCTGCGGGTGTGAACGGCGGCTCTGGCACTGGCAGCGGGTGTGAGTGGGGTTGGGAGCAAAGAATTTTCAGTAACCACCAGAGATCTGCCCGGATGACGGCGACCAGAGTGCCGCCTGGGTCTGGCACCCCCGCTCACCTACTCCACCATCCTGCCGCAGCAGACGCCTGCCATGTTACACACGCACCCCATGGTGGTCAGCGCACGTCATAGCGACCAGTTGTGTGGTTGCTCCACTGTTTGGTCTATTTGTATATTAGGGTTTTATATATATATAGACAGATAGACTAGAGGCCCAGTGCATGGATTCATGCACCGGTAGGGTCCCTCAGCCTGGCCTGCGCCCTCTCGCAATCCAGGACCCCTAGGGAAATGTCGGACTTCAGGTTTCAGCCTGATCCCTGCAGGCCTGCGGAGATTGGGCCGAAACTAGCATCCAACATCCTCCGAGGGATGTAGTAGGGTGCGAAACAGCAGATGGCCAGGGAGGAGCCCGAGCCCAGACTGGGCGCTGTGCCGCTCCCACTCATCCTGGCCCCGCTGTGCCTGCAGTTGCTGCTCAGTAGCACTGCTGTGGAGGTGGGAGAGGCTTGCACTGCTGCAGCTGCGCAACCAGCTGTGAACCTGGCATCTGGTGCCCGTCGGTTAGCTGAGCAGTGTTCCTGCTGTAGGAGCACACTGACCACCAGAGGGCAGCTCCTGCATTGAGTGTCTGCCCCTGGTGGTCACTGCGCGTCATAGTGACCGGTTGACCATTTAGTCGACCAGTTTTAATGGTCGCTTAGGCATTTATATATATAGATATACTCAGTCCAGAATATTACTCCCATAGTAGATCTGCTATTAACTTTTGAAAAACTTATGTAACTCCTGCAATATAGTATTTTATATACTATTATTAAAATGAATAAAACAGAGTTTTTCTAAAAGGTAACTTGATATGTAACAAATGTGGTTAAAAATGTGAACAGCAGATTAAGGGAGGAGTGAGCTCCTATAATCCTATCTAATAAAGAGGCTATATGCAAATTGACCATTACTCCAACACACAAGATGGCCACCCCCATGGGGTCAAAGATGGCTAGCAGGGGAGGGCAGTTAGGGGTGATCGGGCTTGCAGGGGAGGGCAGATGTGGGGGGACCAGGCCTGCAGGGAGAGCAGTTAGGGGTGACCAGACCTGTAGGGGAGGGCAGTCGTGGGGGACTCAGGCCTACAGGGGAGGGCAGTTGGGAGTGACCAGGCTGGCAAGGGAGGGCAGTTAGGGGTGACCTGGTCAGCAGGGGAGGGCAGTTGGGGGTGACCAGGCCGGCAGGGGAGGGCAGTTAAGGGCTGGGCTGAGGGACACTCCCCCTCCCTGTGCAACAGGCCTCTAGTTAGTATATACTCTAACATGAAGAGCTAAAAAGAACAATACATACATCTTGGGAAAATATACGATCTCTAGCTCTCTGGTACTCTTCTTCTCTTTCTTCTATAGATTTGCTTCTTCTGTCATCTTTCAAACGTATTCTTATCTAAAGAAAAGAGAACAATTAATTCTTGGGAAAATAATCTGCTGGTATAAGTCCTGCACATATAAAAAATGCTCTAATTGTGCTAAATTACCTGGTTATCATCTTTGTCAAAGCTAGAGTTATCTCTCTTGAGGATATATCGTTTCTGAAAGTCTTCACCTTTATCATCCTTAATATGTTCATTGAATTTCTGATCAGGTCTAAAAAAACAAAAACAGGGGTACAGAAAAGATAATATACAATATTTACAGAAAGGGTGAATATAACATTTAATGAAAAGCAATAGAAGTAATAAAAGTTACCACTCACTGGTGCTATTAATAGGTAATTACATTATTTTATTAACGCCTCATAATAATCTTCCAAGAAAATATTAACTATCCCATGTTATTTGTAAAAGGCCATCCCATGAAATATAGTGAGAACTCTGGAATCAGACTGCTTGGGTTCAAAACTTAGCTTTACCAATATGGTTGCTTTGGGACTTACACAAGTTACTTAACTTTTATATTCCCTAGTTTCCTCATTTGTAAATGGGAATTATAGTCTACCTACTTCACAGAGTTATTCTGAACATGAATTGATAGACAACAATAAAAGTTTGTTATTATTATAAATACTACTTAGAAATCAGGTTCAGATGCCTTAAGTAACCATCCAAGGTCAAAGGGCAAGTCCATGACTGAGCCATAGTTGGAGCCTGCTATGTAAGACCCAAAGACTATACGTCCTCTTTGCATTGCCTCCTCTAAATATAAGAAAAAATTCTAGGACAAAATAAAAGTATATAGTATTATGTTATACTCCTATAGTACCTGGTTTGGTGTTACATAATTGAAAGTAATAAAATATTTGTGGCTGCCTGACCAGTGTGGCTCAGTGGTTGAGCGTTGACCTATGAACCAGGAGGTCACAGTTCGATTCCCAGTCAGGACACATGCCTAGGTTGATGGCTCAATCCCTAGTAGGGGGCATGCAGGAGGCACCTGATCCATGGTTCTCTCTCATTGATCTCTCTCCACCTCTCCCTTCCTTTCTCGGAAATCAATGAAACAAATTTTAAAAAAATATACTAAATAAGCGAAACAGAGAGCAGATCTCCATGTAAAATTACATACAGAATTAAAGAGAAAAATACAATGTAAAAACAGTTTCACAACCAAACTAATGAGAAAAAGACTGCATTTTTTAGGAGTTTGAAAGATTGTCTATGTAGTTCTGATCATGGCAGTATGTTGTTATTTCTGTCACATGATTACCCAGTTTACTTATATAAATTATTTTTGTAGCCAATAAAAGTCACATTTTCTTATTCAAGGAGTTTGTACTTGGGTGAGAGACTGTCATTCCAAAGTGAACTATATGATTTAACCAACAACCTGGCAACTTTTCTAAGAGTCGCTGGATTCCCACACCAAATAGCATTAGCAGGCATTTCAGCTAACCTTAAGACTGTCTTACCTCTTTTTTTTTACAGATGCCTGACTTCCCGCTCCATTGAGACACCCCAGTGGACACCGGGTTGTTGACATCCACAACACCACTGGTTCAAGGCTGGAGCGGGTAATCTGCCTATGAGGAAAAGGTAAGTTTGTTTTTATTCAGTGTGGAGTAGATCTCTAAGGTTTTCTGATTTATCATCTTCTTCTTATTGCAGAAGATACAAAAATACAGTGTAACTTCAGTGATTTGAAATGTCAAGTTATAATTATGCTACTGATCTATTCTTTTTTAAGTATATCACAAACATCTGTGTTTAGCTAAACTTTTGGAAACCTTGATGAAGAAAACCCCAAAGCTTTCTGACATCATTCATAGCATTCAAATAACTGAGGTTACACTGTATTGAAAACCTTAGAGAGTCACCAGTCGAAATGTTAGTCAAAATGCCTGCTAATGTGCATGTGATTGGGTATCCAGCAGCTCTGAGTAATGTTGAGAGGTATTGGTTAGATTAATTAGAGTTCTATTCACCTTCAGTTCAACTCATGCTATAGTTACTATCCTACATTAGCCATAATGTAACTAACTGGGAAAAGACTAATTGATGGGGATATTTTAAAAAGACTAAGGGAAGGGCAGAGGAAAATTAAATCAGATTCACACTTGCAGGTTAAATTGAATCCCCAAGAAAGATAGGACCCTTTCAAAGACATTTATCTTCATTAATTTAATCTTAATTATAGGAACAATTATTTAAAAATACTAAGTTCCATCTATATATCTATTATGTTGACAACATTCTATTTAAAACAGAAGAAAACCAACTTAATTCCAGCAAACAAAATGGCAGCTACAAGGGTATTCTATATAATAAAAGGCTAATATGCAAATTGTCCCCTCGAGAGTTCGACTGGGAGTTTGATCACTCGCCATGATATGCACTGACCACCAGGGGGTGGCATGGAACATGGTGGGCAACCAGCGGCAGCTGCAGCAGCAGGGCGTTGAGGGAGTGAGAGGAGGAAGCAGGAATGCATGGTGGTAGCGCATGGGTGGCGAGGGATGCAGTAGGTGGGGAGACAGGGAATCCGACTGGCCCTGATCACGGGTCAGGCCTAGGGATGCTACCCATGCACCGCACCTCTAGTAGGACATAAGTGAATGAAATATAATCATGCAAACCAAAAGGTTCATAGGTCATACCCTGAGAAGTCTAGCTTCAAGAAAGGCAGGAAAATAATGAACTTTGCATTATTTATGGCATCTGTAGTTGACTGCTGCTCAATACCACAGATCCATTGTTGTCATACACAAACTGATAATAGAAAATTCTATTGATGGGCAGATCACCACCGAAGTATAAATTTTAGCTAACTCAATTAATTGTTTTAGGGTCAGCTTTACAAATAGGCAGAAGAGGTGTTTTGTAGATGTTATAGTTTTAGGTGCTTCTGCATTGGGCCTTTTGCTCCCAAATGCCAGCACGGAGGATCTATTTCACCAACAGTATACAGCTATCACTTTGTAAAGAAAATGGCTTTTCTTAACTCCTTAAAAGTTTTCCTCAGAAAATTACATATAGCCCATAAGGTGGACACAACATTATTAACTAATGTACTGACTTTCTGGAGATCTATAGCAGAAAAGGAGCAAAACCAGAAGTGGAAAGGATGGTAAACTGACAGAAGATTAAAGGTGATAGTGTCCCCATTTGCGTTCCCTCATCCCCCAATTTGCCAGAGGTTGGACATAGCTATCTCAATTACATTAATTTAAAAATCCATAAGAGAAAGGTTATCAAACATCACTGATATTATGACCTCTGAGGGGTTTTTTGCTTTTGCTTTTGCTTTTTAAAACCAGTCCTCATTCATCCACCTCATTTCAGTTCAGACTGCATTTCATTTTATTTTTGTATAGCGAAGGTGGAAATTTATTGAAGAACAAGCACAGACTCCCACATGGGGAGGGGGAAAGGGTCCCACAGCACAGACTCCCACGTGCGGAGGGGGAAAGAGTCCCCAGACTGGTGCATTTTAAAGCTAGTGATCTAAAAGTATTTTTTGTCCAATCGTGTAAGGTTATTATATGGAGCTTAATTAAGTTGCTAAAACATATGGAAAACCTATGTAAAAGGTGCTGTAAAAAGAGAAAGTACCGTCACACATATAATGTGCACCAAAACTTCTTAATACTTACATTCTTGTATTGCTAGTTTTGTTTACTATGACAGACTTCCCACTCTGATCAACATTGTGGTCTAACCCAAAGTAAGCAGCTACTCTGTGTAACAGCATCCTATGGTAAGATGTCATGGGGGGGAATTTCTTACGTGGAGACCTAGAAGTAGGAAAGAAGAAATACAAATTTAATAAATCAAGGAGAAATGTGATGATAATTTCTTTTCTTGTTAAATGTCAGGACTTACTCATTATTACCAATGAAATCTAAAATTTCTTGTTCCAATTTCAACAGCATCATTCTGTCCCTGAAACAAAATATGAAGACTCATCTGTAAAATTTAACACTGAAATAATAAATGTTGAACTTATACTACTAAATATTTGTCTTAACAACTGTACACTGACTACTATCACAAGCTTGATGCTAAAATATTTACATGCTTTCTAAAAAAGTAATGTTTTTTAAAAATAAAAATGACTTATTTTGGTTTAAATTTTTATTATGGAAAATTTCATGCCTACACAAATGTAGAGGGAACAGTGCAATGAACTTTAATATAGCCATCACCCAACTTCAAGAACTATCAGCATGTTGCCATTCTTGCAATAGATTTTGACTCCACTATCACTATATTGGACTCTGTTCTGTAAATATATATGGATAACAAGAGCATATTAGTATTTACTTCCTTATTACTCAATAAAGCTGAGAGATGGTAGCAGGAAAATATGTATCTTTAGACGCATGACTGTGTTATCGTGCTGAACACCATAGAAACAATGCTCTAGAGAACACGAAATGCCAGTAACAACAGGAATACTCCTATGGGAATCCTAAGCTATATATAAATGGAGCTATAGCAGAGAAGTATGAACTACATTACCAACTTTAACTCCGAAGGAGAGGGCTTTTCAAATCATTCTGTAAATTGCTATTATATATTTATAAGACTTCAGAAATTTTGCCCATAAAAATAAAAATGAGCCAAAAGCCTCCATTAGGTAAAATAAATAGACTCTAAGGAGTATCTGCATGTGCTCCTTTAGACCACTAGGGGCTTATTTAGTGCATTTAGGCTGTAGCAAATTAATGGCACCCCTCCCCAAAGGACCTCCTTGCTCACACACCAAGAACGTTGATCAAGGGAGTATTCCTGTGTTCAGTATAAGTTTCATGTGCAAGGGGAACAAAACAAAACAAAACAAAACAAAACAAAGCAAAACAAAACAAAGCAAAAGAACCTGAAAGAAACTTAAAGTTAGAAGTAGCTTTACAGAACATTTGTATTTCTCAAATTTTATAGATCAATAAAACTAGGCCAAGAGGTTATTGTTTTCCTCCCAAATAAACGATTCTTATTTACTGATTGATTTAAAAAAATTTTTTCTATTGATTTCAGAGAGAGGAAGGGACAGTGAGGAAGCACAAAACACCCAACCAGAAGAGCAAGAAGAAAAAAGAATCCAAAAATATGAAGATAGTGTAAGGAGCCTCTGGGACAACTTTAAGCATACCAAGATCTGAATTATAGGGGTGCCAGAAGAAGAGAGAAAGTAAGATATTGAAAACCTATTTGAAGATATAATGACAGAAAACTTCCCCTACCCGGTGAAAGAAATAGACTTATAAGTCTAGGAATCACAGAGAACCCCCAAACAAGAGGAACTCAAAGAGGACCACACCAAGACAATCATAATTAAAATGCCAAGGGCAGAAGACAAAGAGAGAATCTCAAAAGGAGCAAGAGAAAAGCAGTTAGTTACTTACAAGGGCGTGTCCACATGACTGTCAGCGGATTCTCAACAGAAACTATGCAGGCCAGAAGGGAGTGGCAAGAAATACTGAAAGTGAAGAAAAGCAAGAACCTACAACCAAGATTACTCTACCCAGCAAATCTATCATTTAGAATTGTAGGTCAGATAAAAAGCTTCACAGACAAGCAAAAACTAAAGGAGTTCACCACCACCAAACCAGTATCATATGAAATGCTGAAGGGTATTCTTTAAGATGAGGGAGAAGAAAAAGGTAAAGATAAAAAATCTGAACAACCAAGTGGCAACAAATACATTATCTATCAACAATTGAATCTAAAAATCAAACGAATAAAAAATGTGATGAACAGAATAAACTGGTGAATTGAATAGAATCTGGGGCATGGAAATGGAACAGACTGACGATTCTCAGAGGGAAGGAGGTGTGTGGGTGTGTGGGAAGAGATTAGACAAAGATCTTATATGCATGTATGCATTACCTATGGACACAGGCAATAGGGTGGCAAGGACCTGGGTGGGGTGGGAACCGGGTGGAAGGGAACTATGTGGGGTGGGGGGGGGGGGGGAGAGGGATATCTGTAATAATCTCAACAATAAAGATTAAAAAGACAAAACAAAACAAAACAAAAATACATGTGAATACATGTCATTGCCTTGATAAAATATTTACCACAGATTTCCACTGCTCTTAGGATCTGAAATGTGACTTATCAAGCAGGCATAGTATGGTCTTTGCCTACTTCTTTAGCCTAATCTCCAGCTCTCCTCACAAAACCTATCATCTTGGCTTATCTCGGCACGTGCCAAACTCCTTCCTTTCTCAGCTTCCTTGAACATGCTGTTTCCTTTGCCTAAAACAACTTCGTATATTCTTTTTTAGACTCTGTTTCTTTAATAGCATTTATCACAATGATCATTATATAGTTTTCTGAAGTACATATTTTATACACTAATTGTAGGGGGGGAAAAAAGGGATCCGAGGCAGGCAACTTATTCAGCATTCACAAAACAGTTCATTTAAATTGGTTTCCTGTGCCTGATCTAAACAGCAGGCATACAAAGAAAGAATAAATTACTGATACTTGTGACAACATGGATAAACCATAAAAATATGCTAAGGGAATGACACCAGTCACAGGAACACACACACACACACACTATTGACATGTGAAGTCAAAACCAGGGAAATCTGTACAAACAAGCTTGATTAGTACTCAAGGCATAGAGAGGTGATAGCAACAGGGTATGGGTTTCTTTTTTGGGTTATGAAAACTTTCTATAATTGACTGTAGTGATGGTTGTTGCACATATCTGAGTATATTAAAAGCCCATTAAATTTTATAATTTAAAAATTCATATGCAGATAACAAACCTTTGCATTTATATGTAGAGGAAAACAGAACTGTATAATAGAAAAATATTTTGAAGTGTATAAAAATAGATTTCTAATCTTTGTCCTTATCGATGTCTCCTATAGGTTCAGCAGAAAGAAAATTTCTGCCTGTTTAGAATCCTATCTTGTTTTACTCAAACTACTTATGTATTCTCCTTCTCCCTTATTCCTCAAACCTCTGAGTTCTAGTTTCCACAATCTTACTTCATATGAAACAGTTTGTTAAAATAGCTAATAATTACTTCCTTACCATTTTCTAGAATGATTTGCCCATACTTCCCTGCTAGAGCCAGTGTGTACAATCTTGTCTTTCTTTGAGTATATCACTTCCCCTCACACACTGCTATGCCTTGGCAATGCTCTTTATCTCTACCTGGAATGCCTTTCTCATGCTTCTCTGTATAGATAGTTCCCATTTAAAGCACTCTGATTTCAAGATGCATCTCAGGCATTACTTTTCAGTGATGCCTTCCCATATTCTTTCAAACAAAGACTGGGGGCCCCCCTTCTCTTTTACAGCCCTTGAAAAGTTATTTTACATCTATTCTATTTTAACTAGTGTCCCGGTGCACGGATTCGTGATCACTGAAAGGAAATTAATTAGAAGAAATATTTTAATATCGCTATTTGCCCTTTCCCTATAATAGAAGTGTCAATCAAATACATGACCGACAATGACAGATCGAAACACATGCGCGAGATTAGCACCAGTGAGAACTTTACATGATTCGCATGAGTGGGTCAACTTAGCCTTTTATCTCTATAGAATACTCTTGCTTAATTAAACCTGCTTTCTGATGTAGCTAAACTTTTCGCAGCCCAGTGAAGCACCCCAACTTCTCTTTCAGGTAATTGTCAGCAACACAGCAGCAAGTATCAACACAAAGCAGATTATTATTGTAGATCACACAGGGAGAACAAAGGGTAAAATATTTAACTGCAGCAGTGTTTGACTATATTCTGTGCAGTGAGAAAACCTGAAGTCATTTTCAAGGTCCACCATTTCTTACTTCTATTCAGTCGGGTCAAGTTGCTAAACTTTCTAAATCTCCATCTTCTGGCTAATGAAAATAGAATTCTACCGTGTCTCCTATCTACCTACTTCAGGACTTTTGTGAGGATCAAATGAGATGAGGCACGTGAAAATGCTTCACAAACATTTGGTTAAAGTGTGAAATGTTTGCAACTGGCTATGAAGCAAGTTGGGTTCCTGGGTTAAAGAAACTCCAAGGAGGCTAGTCACTAGAGAGAGGAAGCCAGGCGTTGCTACGTGAAGTCATTACCCGGGGCTCACAGTGACTGTTTCCGGGCTGGGCTGTGGGCCGCATTTTGTGCCATGGGGTCTTGGCAGCGTTGGGTGGGATTTGTGGGCTGTCACTCCGGGGTGGTGGTGGGGCCTGTGTCCCACTTGGGGGAAGCTGAGTGCTGGTTTGTCGGCGCCAGGTCTGTGGTGCCGTTTATTTTTAAATGGTCACTGTGTGTCATGGTAGCTCCTGCATTAAGCGTCTTAACTCCTGGTGGTCAGTGTGCGCCATAGCTATCAGTTGGATGGACACTTAGCCATATATATATATAGACTAGAGGCCCGGCGCATGAAATTCGTGTGTGGGTATGGTCCCAAGGCCTTTCCTGCAATCAGGGCCATTTTCCCCAGCTGCTGGCAGCCGAGCCCCCCCTCCCTGCCACCCAACCCCGGTCAGGCGATTGGAGCCTCTTGGCCAGGGGGAGGGACTTAGAGGTTGGCCATTCCTGCCCACTTGCCAGCCCTGCCCCCACCACAAATCGCCCTCTGTGTGTGGGGAAATGGACAGGGCTGGAACCTTGGCCTGATGTCGCCCACGTCCCCCGCCACCCATCCCCGGTTCTCTGTTCACCATCAGGCGATGGGAGCCTGCTGGCCAGGGAAAGGGACTGAGAGGTGGTCAGCGTGCCTCATAGTGACTGGTTGAGCAGTTGTTCTGGTTGTTCCACTGTTAGGGTCAATTTGCATATTACCCTTTTATTACATAGGGTTATATATCAAGAGTTTATTCTAGCAGAGAGACAGTGGATAATTTAGGGGCAGAGATGATATCTTGCACATCTTTATATCTATAACTAGAGGCCTAATGCACGAAAGCGTGCACTCAGGGGGTGGGGGTGGGGGGCAGTCCCTCAGCCCAGCCTTCACCCTCTCGCAGTCTGGGAGCCCTTGGGGGATGTCTGACTGACGCCTTAGGCAGTTGAACATCCTTAGTGCTGCTGCAGAGGCAGAAGAGGCTCCTGCTACCATCACTGCACTCACCAGCCGTGAGCCTAGCTTCTGGCTGAGCGGCGCTCGCCCTGTAGAGCGTACTGACCACCAGGGGGCAGCTCCTTCATTGAGCAGCTGACCCCTGCTTGTCAGTGCGCCATAGCAACTGTTCGTTCTGCTGTTCAGTCGATTTGCATATTAGCCTTTTATTATATAGAATGTTTGGCACAATACTTAGCACATGGCAGATGCTTAAGAAATACCTATTCATTAGATTCCACATGAATGATATCATATGGTACTTATCTTTCTCTGATTGGCTTATTTCACTTAGCATAATGTTCTCCAGGTCCATCCATGCTGTTGTAAAGGGTAAAATTTTCTGGAATTTAATGAACAAACTGAACCACCAAGCAAAATACAAGACAGACCCATAGATAGAGAGCAGGTAGACAGCTTTGGTGGGAGGTGGAGTATTGGGGAATGAGTGGAGGTTGGAGCAAAAAAGAATATAGAGAGAAATCATGGACATGGGCAATAGTGGTGACTGTTGGGGGCGGGGGGGAAAGTGGAAGAGGGCATAGAGGGGATAAATGGTGATGGGAAAAAAAGAAATGCCTGCCCAATGGACTAATGATTTCATCTTTATTTTGGGACTTAAAATAAAAAAGTCAGGCAAAGTTGACTATCTTCTTCCTCATGTCATACCTATACTCCTTCAATCCATATTACAACAAGCCCAGTTTTCATTTAGGCAGTTCTCTTTTGAAGGTTTATGTTAAGAGTAAACTAGAAAATCAAGATGGCACTGAATACAATAAACCCTGAATTAAAATAAAGGTTTATCTTGAGGTATGATATAAGTCTCAGTGAGACTAAAGAGAGCCAGCTGTTCATGATTTCTTCCATGTGCACATACCCAATGAAACTGTTTTCTTTTTATTGCAATGTATGTAAAATAACTCCCACTCTGCGAAGTTAACACTTAGAGGATGGGTTTTTAACCTGGGAGTCTTCTACCTCATGAAAGCATTGGTGAAATATTTTGTGGATAAGCCTTTTTGTGGGAAATACCTTAAAGGGGTCAATGACCTGCCAAAAAATAAAAATCTATTCATTACCCTGGTAAACAAAGGATTTCACAATTGGTTAGTGACTCAAATAAGCTCTTTAAAAACTATAGGATTGAAGGTGTATAAACTAAGAAAAAGGGAACAAATAATGTGACTTTAAATGTTTAAACACTCATAAATGAATACACTAAGTTCTTGTTCAGTTGGGTGTGTTATCCTGAGAATATTTCTTTTTTTTCATGATTAATGTTACCTCTGCATTTCAATTGAGTCAAAATTTCTTGGTAATTCTGTATTTCCCAAAATTCCTACATACAGCATAAATTATTTTTATATCATGCTGAAATACATATTGCAAAAAGACATTTATACATCTAGACCACCAACATCGTAACCCTAAGAATCTAAAATGTTTCTGGTATACTTCAATTACTGCAATCTTATTCTAATATTCTAACTCAGTAATGGAGACACACATAGCAAATTATGGTATTCTAAAAAGCAATATAAACCTTATAAATCTAATTTTTACCTGGGATTGTTTTTTAATGTATTTACTAAAAATTCATGTAGATCTATGCCAGTTGAATCAGTGTATTCTTGACTGGAATCTAAAAAAACAACAACACAAAAACACAGTATGAAGTTGTTTGAAAATAAATCCCATTTCTTTTTACACATGATACATATCTTAAATAAAATGAGGTGACCCACATTGAAAAAGATTAACAAAGTAGGAAAAGGAAACTTCTGAAATCAGATGAAAACAATTTTTCTATTCCCATATAACGAACAGATGTAGGTTTATATAACTGCATGTACATGCACATTCTTAAAAAAAATATATGTCTTGCCTGGCCAGAGTGGTTCAGTCGGTTCGGTGTCCCTCTGTGCATTGAAAGGTCACTGGTTTGATTCCGGGTCAGGGCACATGCCTAGGTTGCAAGTTTGATCTAGTTGGAAAGCCTTTGGAAGGGAACTGATCAATGCCTCTCTTTCTGTCCTTCTAGTTCTCCCTTTCCCCCTTACTTTCTCTAAGCATGTCCTTGGTGAGGATTAAATTAAAAAAAAAAAAAAAAAATCTCTCAAATGTGACAGTAATTTACTTTGAATCCTTTAAAGATCCTATTATATACTCACCACAATCCTCATTTTCTAAAATGTCTCCTGAAGTAAAAGATTAGAATGACTTATTCAATTAACTACATTGGTAGCAAATTAAGACAGCTTAGTTCATTTGTGAACATAGGTGGAGAAAATAATTTGGGGGTAGATAGGAATTTTAGTTCTGAAAGAACACTAATTTAATTAGATATGATTAGGCCTATCACTAAAGGCTTGCTTCCAATATACTCTTTTAAAAAAATTATGTTTATTTCTCCCTTCATGCTGATCAGCATTAATCACGTTTGTAAATTAAAAAAGCATTTTTATAGATGTGCAATAGATGACGGTGAAGTCCCTTAAAATTTATTATGAAAGATAAACATTCTGGTTTCCAAGAAGGTATGTTTTTATTGATTATTTAGAGAGGAAGGGGGAGGGGGGGAGACAGAGAGGGGGGGAGGGAGGGAGGGAGGGAGAGAGAGACCAATTGCCACCCCCATACATGCCCTGACCAGAGACTGAACCCACAACCTAGGTATGTGCTCTGACCGGGAATTGAACCCACCATCTTTTGGTATAAGGGATGACACTCCAATCAACTGAGTCACCTGGCCAGGGCATCAGCTCTTTGTATTGTAAGGAAGAAATAATATTTTTAGTGAAATCGGTATTCAAATTATAGTAATTCTATTATTTCAATAGGAGATAGACCAGTAAGAGATAAAGACAGTTATCTTCCTCAGAGACTCTGGAATGTGTTGCAGTTTTTTAATTAATGTGTCTTACTGTGTTATTCCATTTTGACCAGATGAGCAAATACTATATTATCCCTTCAATATGTTCTGTATCATATCCTATCTAATAAAAGAGAAACATGGTAATTAGCCGTACATCCGCTACCCTTCCCATTGGCTAATCAGGGCGATATGCAAATTAACTGCCAGCCAAGATGGCGGCCAGCAGCCAGGCAGCTTGAAGGTAACATGAGGCTTGCTTGCTTCAGTGACGGAGGACTCCAACGTTCCCCGCCTGCCACTGCTGGCCTTTGAGCTTGCAGTTTGAAACACTGTTACAAATATAGAAGCTAAACAAAACCCCAGTAACCTGCTTTCAGCCAGCTGGGATCTCAGAGCTGGAGTTGAAACAGTGTTTTGATTATAGAACCCAAACAAACCAGATACCTGCTTTCAGCAGCGGAGGCCTAAGAGCTGGAGCCAAGCCTCAGAGCTAAAGCTGGCCCAGAATAAAAAAAAGAAGAAAAAAAGGAGCGGTTGGGAGCTTCAGTCACCCGCCAGCCTGAAAACAGCCCTCAGCCCCTCACCCAGACTGGCCAGGCACCCCAGTGGGGACTCCCACCCTGAAGAGTGTGTGACCAGCTGCAAATAGCCATCATCCCCTCATCCAGGCTGGTCAGGCACCCCAGTGGGGACCCCCACCCTGATCCAGGACACCCTTCAGGGCAAACCAGCCGGCCCCCACCCGTGCACCAGGCCTTTATCCTACATGGTAAAAGGGTAATATGCCTCCTAGCACTGGGATCAGGGGAGCCGCGAGGCCTCCCGGCACCAGGATCAGTGTGACAGGGGGCAGCGCCCAAACCCCCGATTGCCCCGCGGCTCTGTGTGTGACAGGGGGCGGGGCCAAAACCTCCCTATCCGCCCTACTCTGTTCGTGACAGGGGAAGGCACCCCAAGCCCCTGATAGCCCTGCTCTGTGCCTGATAGGGGGGAGCTCCCCAACCCCCTGATCGCCCTGTGGCTCTGTGTGTGACAGGGTGTGGCGCCCCAACCCCCTGCTCTGTGTGTGACGGGGGGTGGTGCCCCAATTCCCCTATTAGCACTACTCTGTGAGTGACGGGGGGAGCTCCTCAACCCCCTGATGGGCCCTGCTCTGTGCGTGACAGGAGCGCGCTCCCCAACCCCCTGATGGGCTCTGCTCTGTGCGTGACAGGGGGGAGCTCCCCAACCCCCTGATGGGCCCTGCTCTGTGTGTGACAGAGGGGAGCTCCCTAAACCCCTGATCGACCCTGCTCTGTGCGTGACAGGGTACGGAGCCCCAACCCCCGATTGGCCCTGCTCTGTGCATGACAGGGGGTGGCGCCGCAAACTCCCCATCGACCTTGCCTTGAGTGTGACAGGGGGCGGTGCCCCAACCCCCCAATCGGCCCTACCCTGAGCATGACTGAGGGTGGCATCGCCACCTCCCGATCCGCCCTGCTCTGTGCATGACAGGGGGTGGCGCCCCAACTCCCAATTGGCCCTGCTCTGAGCCCGACCAGGGGCTGCACCTAGGGATTGGGCCTGCCCTCTGCCACCTGGGAGCAGGCCTAAGCCAGCAGGGCACTATCTCCCGAGGGGTCCCAGACTGCGAGAGGGCACAGGCTGGGCTGAGGGACCCTCCTGCCCCCCTGAGTGCACAAACTTTTGTGCACCGTGCCTCTAGTATATATATATATGGTAAGGAAAATTTTGTTTTAAAAACCCCACAAAAATAAATTGCAAACCTCTTGATAACATTTTTCTGGGTAACTTATCACTGGCTTTTTCTTTTTCTGCTTCATCTTTCGAGGGCTTCTCCTCTTTTTCAAATGATTGTGTTAACTGGATCTGAATTTTCTCCTGTTGGAAGGTAAAATCAGTTTAAATAAAAATATAGAGCAATTTAGTTAATACCACACACCTGTAGTAACACAAAAGTATGTGGAGGGGAAAAAAAAGAAAACTATTATTTTATCCAATTAGATTCTTCAAAGTAGAATACAACTTAAAAATATTTTTACCATATTTATTGAAGTCTGGATAGCAAAATTTGAAATGTTGACTATATCAATTGAAACATATCTTAGAAATTATTTTAGAGAAAAAAAATGTTTTTTGTAACAGTTTAAATGTATCTACTTGCAAAGCTCCTGGAGAATCAGAACCAAGGTCTTTTTAACCTATTTTTGCAATGGAGATGCCAAGGAAAGATACAATTATCATCAATCATGACAACAGGAAGACATAAGTATCAAGTCAACACTTAGTAAAAAGTACTTTTTTTGAGGGGGCGGGGGGAAAGAGAGAAGTACGTAAAATCTCATATTCCTTCATTCTCTTGACATATAAAAAAACTGTAAGTACAAAATATCCAAAACCAAATTTACATGACTTTCATTATTTGAGATTTATGTATCACTTGTTCTTCCTCCATCACCTCAAAGTTTAGAAAGATTTCAAGCAAGATTGCTTTCTTTCCTGATACATAGTAATTCACTGTAAAGTAACCATATTATATAAGACTGAAAAAGAGAACTAATTCTACATTTGATTTTTAAAACAATCTCATTACATCCAATTTCAAAAACCAAAGGAATTAGTGAAAATTAATTCATATAGCCTAAAATGGTAAATGTCACACAGCTCTGTTTATTCAGGCAAAGTTATCAAGAAAGGCAGAATAACATCCAGACCATTTCTACTAAAGATAATTGTAGACTAAATTATACTGTTGTCCATGGTGATGAAAAACATCAATCAGACTTCTCTTCTCTGGGAGATGGTTGTTGGTGGTAATACAGTAAGTCAATATCAAAGGGAATATAAATTTCAGGGTTCTTAAACTTTCAGCCATCAGGATCTCTGTTAAACATCTCTGACCCCCCAGGAAACATTATTTTTTTTGAAATAGTAATTGGCAAAAAATTTCAGATCAAATATAGTATTTTTTCCTATAGGTTTGCTGACTGCTATTTTCATCTCTTCAATTCTGCTTCCCCTTCCATCTCAGTTCAAATTTATGTTCAGAATATAGTGCAAAAGCTATGTACTGGCAATTTTCACTAAAGTTGCTGAACTTCCTACATTCATCAACTGGTAATCATTTTTCTCATTATGACTAATTTTCCTTTTTATAAATTAAATTTATCAGGGTAACATTGGTTAATAACATTATATAAATTTCAGGTGTAAAACTTTGTAATGTATCTGTATACTCTATTGTGTGCTCACCATTGGAAATCTAGCCAGTCTCCTCACCCGAGGATATTTTTCCATTGCTTTTTAGAGAGGTGAAGGGAAGAAGGGCGGGGAGAGAGAGAGATGAGTATCAATGTGAGAGACACATCGATTGGTTGCCTTTGCATGTGACCCAAACAGAGGGATCGAGGCTGCAACTGAGGTATGTGCCTTTGACTGGAATCAAACCTGAGATGCTTCAGTTCAAAGGTCAATGCTCTTTCCACTGAGGCAAACCGGCCAGAACTGTTTGTTGTTTTTTTGTGAAATGATATGGTTCTTGTCCTTTTCCATTTGACTTATCTCATTTAGCATAATGTTCTCAAGATCCATCCTTGTTGTCTTATGACTCATTTTCTAATCTACTTTCCTTATTTTAAAGTAATTGTAAGATAGGTATTTTAAAATGAATCCCAGAAGTATGTTTTGGAAGTAGAATACTAGAAGTGTTACTGACTTACAGCTTCTATTCCTGTTACTCAAGGATAATCCATGAAATCCAGGTTGGAAGAAAAGATTTCACATTTAGACCACCACAAAAGGCAATCCCAATGACTATCAGGTTTCATTTCTAAATTCTCCTATTAAAGTTGTACATTATAATTACAGATATTAAACTATTTTATCAAGATTAATTGTATTTAAAAATCTAGAGGCTTAATGTACTGAGGTCTGGATTCGGTTGATACTGAGACCTTGTTTTCATTAGCAAATAAACTAGGCATATTTTAAATGCTGAAATCCATACACAAACTCTTCTGACTATAAATAAGCAACATCTCCATAGGAAGTTGTAATTTCTTTACTCTTCCTCACTCAGCCATTCACATTTGTTACTGGTCACTTCCCTCTCATAAGCTCTCATTAGACACAAGTAACATCTCTTTTAATTGCCTCTCAACCCTTTGACTAATGTGCTTTACTCCAGATTATTTCCTCAAAAATCACATTCTGAAGCAAACATTATTAGATGGAAAGTGTCTCTACCCATCAAGAATTAGATACTAGGACATTTCAGGAGAAATAATTTATTTTCCTATTCCCATTCAGGTGCAGTTTAGTTAACTCAAGACTTGGAAAAAGTTCAGTAAAAGTAGGCTATTATCTCAAAAGAAAAAAAATTACTGTATTTAAGAGAAATTGAGAACAAATGTATTAAGTGGAATAACAGCTCTTTGAACTATGAATGCAAAAATTATAATCTGAGATCAATAGTATATACATTAATTTATAATACACTCCTGATGTTATTTTTCCCATATAAATTTTCACTAGATAAATTTATGTAGCACTATTAAGAATTTTGCCCCAATATTTTTCAGATAGGTAAAATGTACTGAAAAAACAACAACAACAAAACAACAATCACATTACAGTTTTTCTCAAAAAGAATGCATTTTTCTGTATTAATAGTCTTATGAATGCCTGACCCTTCTCATTTTTTCAATCTCCTTGGACTAATTATAATTAGTCCATGAGGCTAGGATGGTATAACATTTTGAACAACAGAAAGAAGAAATACATTTTTAAAAAACACTATATTATTCCATCCTGGACAGGCATAGTATTTACTCTAATTTGTACAAAAGAATTTTTTAAAATTGCTACTTCAAAAACAATTTTATTAAATTTCTTTCAGAGCGTATCATAACTCTTCAGCCTTATCAACAACCATGCAAAAGCCAAAGGCTAACATTTAAAAATGTTCTCAGGCAATAGTTCTTAGTAAAATATTTTGACTGCATTTCTACTTTTTCTTAGAAAATTCTGTTATTTTATTGTTAAAAAATATTTACTTTATAGAATGAATGCATATAGCTTTCTTCTGTTTTTAAATTGTAAATAAATCACAAATAAACTCTGAATCACTTGAGCACAGTCCAAAAGAAGCTGATTTTTTGGTATTTTTTACTGACAAATAATTAAAACAAAAAATCTTCTCCTCCCATTTTAAAAAAAATATATTTTTATTGATTTCAGAGAGAAAGGGAGAGGGAGAGAGAGAGAGAGAGAAACATCAATGATGAGAATCACTGATTAACTGCCTCCTGCATGCCCCACACTGAGGATTGAGCCCACAACCCAGGCATATGCTCTGATGAGGAAGCTAACCGTGACCTCCTAGTTCATAGTTTGACACTCAACCACTGAGCACACTGGCTGGGCCTCTTCTTACATTTTGGAAGCAAAGAAGTGTAGAGGGCATATTCTAAATATGTGACAACTATCTTCAGTATGTATAGCAGGCTTTTAAGAGTATCATCTTATCAAGGCAAAGCATAAGATTTCACCTGAATCAATAAATGTACAATTGCTATTTATTAAAAAAAAAAAAAAGAAGAAGAAGAAATACAACTTCTCATGGCCTTTTCCTTTCTTTCTTTTTTAGTACACTTCTTAAAGAGCCAAAAAGTTGCCTCAGTTCTTTGGAAACTAATTGTTGGGATATAGGAGGATTTTATGTTGCTTAAACTTGTAAAAAGTAGAATAAGCCATTAACAGCCAAAGTTACCATCACAGACAAATGTTGGTAAAGGGTCCAAACATATTTCATATACAATGCCCATGTAAGAGAAGGCAAACATTAGTCCACAGCTGAGATTAACAGAAAAGTAGTCATAGCATTAAAAATACAAAGGGCAAACCAAATTGTCTGCTTAAATCTCAGTTCTATATTTTACAAGCATAGACAGAAAAGGAATTAGAAGTTTCAAGACAACTATTAGAGCCAAGCTAATATAAGAATTGGCTTCACCATGCATTCAGTTTAAGTAAAATAATATATCAAGCAGAAGTCTTGGATAGTTTCCTTTCACACACAAGCAGTATTTGACAAACTTATAAAGGCCAAAATCAAAAGGGTAAATTCCATCGCAATTCCACTAAGTGAAGGTACTACTTTATTACTTTTCCAAAATAACTTATAACTCCCTTAGAGCCATATTCCCACTTAGTTATATTATCCCTAAGTTTTCCCAGAGAGAAATCATTATACTAAATTTTAGAGTGACATAACAAGGTTTTCCCACTTTTCATGTGTATCTTGTATCATGTATTATTAAATGAATTCTTAGTAAAAACACACATAACACACACACATGCACATACAACTTAAAAAAATTTGATTTCAGAGTGTAGATACAACTTTTATTTAACCTTATGAAAAAATTTCTCCAGGAGGCAGGTTATTCCACCATGTCTGTAAAGAATAATTTTTTTTTTTACCTGGTTCTCCTGTGATACCTCTGCTGTAGGGGGTGGTGGAGATTCTTCACATACTGCAAGGCTCCGAACTAGCTTTAACTTTGAGCTTGACTAAAGAAAAGTATTTAAAATTAACACTACATGTCACAAATCTGGGGTGTATATCCAAAAGCCCCCTAGAGTTTCTTAAGTCTTTATAGTTTCTGCCACATATAGGCATAGGTGAAATGTACAAGTTATATATATCATTAATTACCTCTAAAATCCATTGTTAAGAGGGAAAACAAACAATTGCAGTTTTGAAAATTATAGCAATAGCAAGAATGGGGATAATTCCAATTTCAAAACCCAAAGAATGGTGAGAAAGCCATTTTTCTCTATAAAAAAACCATTAAAGATACAAAAGCAATGCACAAAAGCAACTAGGCAAGACAAAACCCAAATAAAACAAAATAAGCTTTCTGCCCCAAACAAAATATGACAAAACTAAACTGATGCAGCGCTGTATGAAAACAAGGATTCATCAAGCATGAAGGACGGCCCTTGGCATGCCAGCACAAAATATTTACTATACCTTAGACCTTTTTCCTGTCTGTCCAAAGGACTGCAATGGCCGCTGAATACACAAGAAAGATTTATATTACATTTCATGTTGAAACAGAAAGTTTTCTTCTCAATTCATAATCCTAAGCCACAGAGAAACTAACTGCACAAAGAATAAAAAATGAGGAAATCAAAGTTGGTTTTAAGTAAAAATGTACTGATTCCTCCCAAAAGCACACCTGTAAAAGATTCTCTTAAAATCCTTGTGTGAATTGGCATTTTCTGTAAGTGAGCAAATTACCACAATTTCTGTGTTAATTGAGCTAAATGAAATTACAAGGTAACTTCTAAGGTAGTAGAAAAATAAAATATATTTCTTCAGTATTTTATAACATATTACACTTTAGGCAAAGTTAGGAGGAAAAATCCCTACAAAAATCCTGAGGAATTTTAAGTATCTGTGCTCAACAAAGTTCCAAACATACTAAGGAGAATGTTGCAAATGCACATTGAGTCAGAGCACAACCACCTATCTTCTGAGCATTTTCAGACACATACGAAGTACAGCACCAGTTTACTAGTCACAGAATCATGTTTGCCTGGTCCAGGGTAAGGCAATGAAGCAGATATAAAGAAAAGAGATCAAAGTTCCAATATACACGTCCAACATAATTGCCAAATCACCAATCACATGATTGGGGAACCCAATGGAGCAAAAGTTCTAGTGTGTGATATCGATATCAGGCTTTGGTTTGGGAAAGCAGCTGTAGTGACTCTGAACCAGAGCCAGATGGTTTTTAAACATGTTTTCCTTCCTCCAACCTCCTTCCAATCTACCTCTCTAACTCTAATCCCAGGCACCTATCATTTATACTCATTAAAGCCAGGGACCAAACATAAAACAGATAAAAAGTCCTTAATACGTAGATTAGTATATTCACATATGAAAGAAGAGTCATGATGTCACTCTAATATCCAAAAGAGCCTTCCTTGCAGAACCAACAGAAATGAGAATCTGCAGTACCAGTGTGTCCTGTCCCTCATGCTGAGCCCAAGTTCTTGAGATAAGAGCATTGTATTTTTGGGATTCTGATCCTGGATTACCCACATTACATACAAATTAGTAGTAACAAACACAAAAGGAAAATAGAAAAAATAAAGAAAAATGACTTTCATTTCTTACAGAGAAGAAAATAGTTTGTATACACCACATATACACATGGCCATACTGCCTAAGAGCTTCTGCATGTTGGCATTGTCTTTTGTTTCGATTTACTCTATAATTTGTTCAAGAAAATTTCTAATTGTAACTCATATCTAAAAATAGAACTAAAAGAAGTTATACTGCATAGAGAAAGGACTTGAAGAAAAGCTGGGAGAAAATCAATAGATGAATGCAAGCAAAAAGGCAGAAGGGAAAATAATGTGTGACTTACTCCTGTTCTCTGCTTTAATTCCTTACAATTCTAAGTATCCAGGGTACAAAACTTTCTGCTAAAAATTTTTAAAATAAAAGAGATGATTAACTGTCAAGTAAAAACTGTATTCATATGTAGAGTTGGATTTAAATTTCTGGCTTTGCTCATTAGTAGGTGACCCTGGTCAAGTTATTTCAGTTCACTTGTTTTTTTAAAATGTTTTTATTGATTTCAGAGAAGGGAGAGGGAGAGAGAGATAGAAATATCAATGATGAGAGAGAATCATAGATCAGCTGCCTCCTGCATACCTACCACTGAGTCTGCAATCTGAGAATCGAACCTTGACCTTCTGGTTCATAGGTCCACGTTCATCCACTGAGCTACGCTAGTTGGGCCGCATTTTTTGGTTGGGAGCAGAAAGGCAAATCTGATTCAAAGGGCAAGAAGGAACAGACACACCACTGCTTGCTTTGAAGATGGAGGGGCTCTGTGAGAAGGCCTGCAGGCAGCCTCTAGGAGCACAGTGGCCCTTCGCCTACAGTCAGTCAGGAAATGTGGACCTCAGACCCACAACTGCAAGCAACTGAGTTCAGCCAATAACTGGAAGGAGCCCAGAAGCAAATTTCCCCCCAGTCTTCAGATAAGGGCCCAATCCAGCCAACACTTTAGATTTCAGCTTTGTGAAATCCTAAACAGAGAAGTTACTTGAGCCCAAACTAATTTCTAATCTACAGATCTGATGTCTACAACTGAGTTGATAATTGGGTATTGTGTTATGCTCTAAGTTTGTGGTAATATGCTCTGTAGCAATAGAAAACTAATACACTACTTCATATGTAAAGCATTATTCAATAAAAGTCACTATTTCATTTCAAATAGCAAAGAACTGAAATAATATATGCCAGAAAGCTTACTATACACACATGCACAAACAACAAAGCAGAGAAAACAAGTTTGGTTTATTAAAGAAAATAACCTTTGTTTTATATTTTTGGTGTCAATTTGATAGTTAGATTTGGCTTTAAATAAAAATAAATTATTTTAAAAAATTAAGTCTTTATTCCCCATTGACCCCTTCTAGACTGCCCCCATCCCTCGCCCCAAGCCTTCACCACCCTATTGTCTGTGTCCACGGGTTATATATGTATGTATAATGCATACAACTTACTTGGTTGATCTCTTTCCGCCTACCCACCCATCTCAAATAGATTTTATTATTTAAACCACACCTTTCCCCTTTCCCCCATTTTTATTTTTATTTTGGAAAATATACAAAACATGAAATTTAACATTTTAACCATTTTCAAGTGTATAGTTCAGTGGTATTGAATATAATCATAATGTTGTACAACCATCACCATAATCCATGTCTATAATTATTTTCATCTTGTAAAACTTAAACTCTGAACTCATTAAACATAATTATCATTCTCCCCCAATCCCAAGCCCTGGCAACCACTCTCTGTCTATGATTTTGACTACTCTAAGTACCTGATACAGGTCAAATTGTATGTCTTTTTGTAAATCTTAATTAGTTAAGATTTCTATAATTTTACATAGACAGACTTTTATTCAACCCTTTAAACAGACATTTATGACTGGCTTATTTAACTTAGCACAATGACCTCAAGGTTCATCTATGTTGTAGCATATTACTAAAGAATTTCCTCCCTTTTTAAGGCTAAATAATATTGCATATTTGAGGGTATTATTTAATGATGTTCAATACAATGAAATATCCTTTCATTTGCTGATGGATGCATTTGGGTTGATTCCATGTTTTAGCTATTGTGAATAATGCTTCTACGAACATGGATGTGTAATTATCTCCTCCAGATTTCAGCATGTGCTTTAGCATCTACAAGACTAAGCAAAAAGAGCTTGAGTTTACTTAATATGCACTGAAACACAGATGATGCTTTTAGGGTAGTCAGGCCAAATAAGGTTGGGAATGGTCATGATTGAAGCAGCACAGTGCTCTGGAAAAAGCACAGGGAGGTAGGCTAGGATTGAGTCCTGGCTGTGCCACTGGCTCTCTAGGTGCCATATAGTTGTGCTAATGTTAATAATAAAACAATTGGGATTATTATAATAATAATCATTATTTGTTAATCCTCACCAAAGGATATGTTTTTATTAATTTTGGAGAAAGAGCAACATCAATGAGAGAGAGAAACATCCATCGGTTGCCTACCGTACATGTCCTGACCAGAGACTGAACCTGCAACCAAGGAATGGCCCTGACCTGCATGTCCTGACCGGTAATCGAACTGCAACCTTTGGTGTATGAAACAATGCTTTAACCAACTGAGACACCTGGCCAGGGCAATAGTATATTATTAATAGCATCTACCATTGCTAGGCTCTAACTATATACCAGTTAAATTATATACATCATTTTTATGTTAGACAGATAGCAAAATAGTTAAGATTTCTATAATTTTACATAGACAGACTTATTCAACCCTTTAAACAGAAACTTCATTGCATGTTTCATCCCATTTACCTCACTGCTGGAGAAGTGTGGTCTGTACCGAGTTTTTCTGATAATATTATTGGATTGGCATTACTTTCTTATCCCTTACTTCCCCTTTTTAAACAAATGCAAAAGAACTTGATGTAAAGGCTCATCTTAATTATCAAAGGGCTTTTTACAGAAACTGAGAATATATTAAACACCTACTTCAACAGATTTCATACATATATGTGTGTGCGTATATATACATATCAGAAGCTGTTCATGTATACTGGCATATGAAGCCTAGTTAACAAAAATCAGTTCTCTTTTTTCCTCCACAACAAGGGTTACCAACACAATTTGAACTGGCCATCCTACTGTTCACAAATAATTAATGGGGAGAGGAATTGTTTGAACTTTTCCAAAATATGCTTTGAATCATGTTTATATGCACATAGACAGATGAATACTCCCAGACAAAGCATTTGCCAAGTACAAAGATACAACTGTAAAAAAAAAATGAGAAAGTTGAGTTTGAATCTTTAATAAGTAAGCAGAACACAAGGTTCCTAAGTTTATGTTTCAAGTAAATGACAGTAAAAATCAACAAGTAATTTACCTAAATTTAATCTGAGAAATCTACTCCTGAGAAAAATCACACAATAGAGGCCATACAAATAAGTTATACAAAGAGAAACAAAGCAACTCCCACCCCATTTATCCTATATTAAAGATTTATAGTCTAACATATTAAATTTTTTCTGGATTTAGAAGCCTGACACCTCACCAGTTCCAAATACCTAATGATCATAGAAAGTTTAACATATAACTTAAGGTTTGCAATAGAAATAGTCTATGGCAGTAGAAAAGTTACTAATCAAAAAATCTTTTCACAATTATTTGGGATCATCATCAACAGTTTAGAACAACTTCAGGCAATTATGTGGGAAAGTTACCTTCTTGACATTAACACACACTATTTGAATTAGCTCTAAAGTATTCTTAAGAAATTCTTAAAAAAGTAGTCCTAAAACTTATATAAAAGACAACTGATGTTTTTTAAAGGGTAAAGCATCACACAGTAGAATTATTTATAAAAGAAAAGGCCAAGGAGCTCTGAGATCATCTCTACTTGGAACCATCCCAGGTGAGGTCTAATGTTTGTTGGCCTCTCTCTAGTTTGAAGAAATTATTTTTTACTAGAGACCTGGTGCATGAATTTGTGCACCAGTCGGGTCCTTCGGTCTGGCCTGTGGGATTGGGCCGAAACTGGCTCTCTGACATCCCCCAAGGGGTCCTGGATTGTGAGAGGCCACAGGCCAGGCCGAAGGACTCCACTGGTGTACGATCGGGGTTGGGGGGGATGCGGGAGGTTGGCCAGCTGGGGAGGAACTGCAGGAGGGCTCCAGGGAGTGTCTGGCCCGTCTCACTCAGTCCTGATGGGCCAGACCCCAGCAGTAAGCTAACCTACTGGTTGGAGGGTCTGCCCCTGGTGGTCAGTGCACATCATAGCGAGCGGCTGAGCAGCCTAAACCTTATCGTTAGCATATTACGCTTTGATTGGTTGAATGAATGACTGGATGACTGGACACTTAGCATATTAGGCTTTTATTATATAGGATGTAAATACTTTCCTTAATAGTAGAAAATCATAAGATTTCTTCACAGTATAAAAGAAGTTATGACAACCGCTCATTTAAAAATGAGTTTTTCTAAATAAACTACTAAGGGACAGTCAGGAAATTAAGACTTGGAAATGGATGAAATGTACGGTTCTTCAGGAAAACATTTCCATTATCCTAAGTCACTTTAAATATTACTACGTTGAAGCAAGACAACAGATATGTTATATTCATGGTAGCCGACTTTCAGAATGACAGGAGAGAAATATTTGGCTTATTCAAAATTCTTAATAGGAAACCTACATTATAATTGGTGCATACATCTAAATTTGAGTAAAAATAATAGTTCCTATTTAAAATTAAACTTTTAGGCAGTATCTTAGAGGTACCAAAGAAAGATGAAATACCTAAATAGTATGTTAGAAAAAAGACATTTTATAATAGTTAACTCCACAGTAAGTTGAAAGGTAACTTCAGTTGATTTTATTTTGTTACATTAGGGAAAACATTTTTTTCTAGTTTTACCCACTTCTATTCCTAATATCCATTACTTAAATCTCTTCTGTATAAGTTATTTAGACTCTAAGTCCCTTGCCAGACACTTGGCATGGAGGCATCCTTGGACATCAAAAAGCTCCAAGCAGAGTAAATAGTCTCACATGTACACTCTTAATAAACATCTGAGTAAGCTATGCATATAGCATTCATGGATGAACATAAAATGAATTCTCATATTCTCCTGTTTCTCTTTCCCATCTTTACAGTCACCATGCTATATGGAACATGATGGCAGAAACCATGCCCATTTTTGCTTACTATAATATTTCCTTGGCATAGAATAGGTTTTCAATAAGTGTTTGGAGAATGCATGAAATTTTCCTAGAGTACCAACAACTGGGCTATACTCTAGTGGTCTATGTGATAGTAGTCATCAAAATGTTTTTATACTTATTGACAAGAGCAACACAACAGATCTGGGAGGAAATGTAATAATCCAAATTAATCGCTTGTTTGATAAGCATAGCCTGGAAGTGTGACCATCAGGTATAGAAAAGAGACTAAAAGGAAATCTTTTAGTACTTCAATCAGGAATGCAGTAAGATTTTAGCAGATTTTCTGATTCAATCAGGATCCTGGCATGCTGCCATCACTCAGTGTACTGACTGCAGGCATGGCAGTTTTTTTGTTTTAAAAAGTGCTATTACTAAGAATGACTAGTAGTAGTATTCCTCCTAATTTCTTAGATAATTACCACTGGACTGTACTTAACCAATGGGCCTAATTGCTTTTTTATAGGTATATGAGTTGCTATCATTTTGGCAAATAGGTAATAAAAAGTTTCTGACTGAATAAAACAACCTTAAAAAGACCTTTCTTTACTTATCAGAAAAAATGAAGGTATAATTTTTAGCATGTAGCTCTCAAGTCTTTAGGATACGGGAAGAATTATAGAATATTTCTGCCAGAAGTAGAATTCTATATTCACAGGGTTAAACTTAAACCGAAGTGTTAAAGACAGTATTTTAAGATAACTTTTTGTGGTAAACTAAGGGACTACCTTTTGTAAGGGTCTAATTCCCCTTTCCTTGAATCTTGACTGGCTTTATTGACATGGGTCACCAAAAAACAATAGTGGAAGTGACATTCGGGGACTTCTGAGCCTCGTCTAAAGAGACCTTGCAGTTTTGCTTGGCTCTTTGAACATTCTTTCTGGGATCCCTGAGTCATCATAATAAGTCTGACTCCCTTGAGGTCTACATGCTGGAGGGACTATTGATAGGTGCTCCCAGTTTCATCTAGCCTACATTCCAGCCATTTGTCTAAAAACAGTTTTAGACCTTCCAGGCCAGCCCATCTGCCAGTTAAATATTAGGGAGGGCCTTCTTTTGACTCCTTGTGAAATAGAAACTGCACTCAGCCAAACCCTGTTCCATTTTCCAACTCACAAATCATGTTTAAAAAATAAAACACAATAGAGTTTTAGTAAATTCTGTTTTAAAATTGCTGGCCCTCTGCTGGAGCACCTAGAACTAAATACTTTAAATACTACTTGAAACAATTTTTACCTATCTTGAATCTTGACCAACTCCTCAATTTCCTTCTACACCTGAAATTAAAAGCCTTCACAGTGGTTAGTTCTATGTGTAGCATCGAAAGCCTTAGTGACTTTTTTGTCCTCTCCAATCTTTTTTCTCAGTCATGGTTGATTGCTTCCACTGAAGGCTGTTTTTGCCAAAAGAACTTCTGCAGTTCCCCTCTCTCTATTCTTCTATCCTCTAAGAGCTCTTCAGTTAAATTCTGAACTCCCACAATACTGATTAGGGGCAGAGTGGAATGAAAACGTAGGAAGCCAATAAAAAAAGTATTGCTACACAGAAATGAAGATTATTATATGATACTAGCAAATCAAAGAATTAGACCCCACAAGCTAATACAGATGGCTCAAAAACTGGCTGATAAGCACACCTCAATGGGCCAACTTATCCTGAAAGGAAGTTTTTTTATGACGATGGCAATTATATACTGAATATTCAGCATTTGTATCCAGAGAGAAAAATCCTGTTTACCTGAAAATCAATATTGTTGTCAATACAATGTTCATTCTTCTCTGCTAAAATCTTCCCATAGTTCTCTGATTTGGTAAGATTTTCAACTCTGGTTGTATCTTTCACTTCTGCCTCCAAATCCTTCATTGTTTCAGTTTCATTTTTTACAGTAACAATATCAGACATCCTCATCAGCAAAGGTTATTTTAGAATTCTACAGGGAACCTGAAGCCTTAGGAAAAAGAAAAGAAAAAAAAATTAATTTTACATTTCTTACATTGAGTTACTACATAATATTGACTAAGTACTTTCTGTGTCCCAGAAATAATGCTGGGTATTCCCAGAGAGAAGCAAAACTCCTGCTTTCAAGAAATAGGCAGTTTAGTGCCAGACCAGTTCAAATTAAAGAAAAAAAAAAAGTCAATATAATGAGATAAGAATTATAATAAAGGCATGAGGTGATTTTCATGCACAGACCACTTGTGAAAGTTCTTAAGAAACATTAGCCATATCGAGATGGGAGGCAATGGCTAATTGGGGTATGATAAATGTGTATTTAGATAACATCAGAAATTTTTTTCTATCAATGAATAATATAAATATCATCGTGTCAGAAAATATTTTCCTATCATAGCTTTTGTCTACATTTCTCAAATTGTAAATTTCTTAAATTACCTGCAATTATGAAAGGAAATAATTAACGAAACAAACAGCAACATTTTATACAAATACAGTTGTGCATCTGGATTAACAACTGTTTGGCTTTATGAATCAAGAATTTAAAACTCTCCTCATTTATGTGATTCAATGCCAGAGGACATATATTACCAGACGGTCTAGTATATGGATTCCGTAGGAGAGCAAGCAGATAAGATGCCAATATATTTCATGTTTTTAGTGAGTTTAAAAAAACACTGGGGACTTTACATTGAATATCAAATAAAAATGTATCAGAGACAGCTGTCATTTTAGCAAATGTAAACTTGAAGAGCAGAAGTTGATGTAAACAACTTTTTCTTTCTAGCTTTATGATCATGTATAAGTTTAAAGTGTATGACATGACAATATAACACAAGTATATATTGCTAAATGATTATCATAATCCATCACCTCACATAATTACAATTTTTTTTGCGGTGAGAACAAGAACAACTTACTTTGAAATGCATAAAAAAATTAAGATATACTGATGGCTAGACAGAGGAATGGATATATATGAACAAGTGCAGGTTAAAGTAAGTACGATAAAATGTTAATGGTAGAATCTAGGAGTGGTTATATGTTTGCTCACTGTAAAACTCTTTTAACTTTCCTGTATTTACAAAAATTTCATGATAAAATTGAGGGGGCAAATATATCTGAAAAGTTTTAAAAAAGAGAGAGAAATAAATTCTCAAGTCACAGGTAGACTCAATTGGATAAAGAACATGTCTTCCTTGATTATATTCAGTACCAAGGTTAACTGTTTCATTCTAAAAACAATAAGCTTACTAAGGAGGAAAGGGATACTTACTAGTAAAATATCCTGGCTCCTTGCTTTTTATATGTAAGATTTAGGAAAAAAAAAAAAAAAAGGAATGTTTTTTTCTTAAAAAGAGAGGTTACCTGATGTGTTCTATGGATTTTGGATTGTGGTGTCCCACAAAAATAAAATAAAATAATCCAAGGTTCTTTTTCACAGTTGTCAGCCAGGATGTCAATTGTATTGAACCATCTGGAATCTGGCAGGAGGAGTCCCATGTCCTTGTCACCACTGTAGATTCCTGGACTGAAATAAACTGTCGTGGATCAAATATATCATACCTTTCAGTGGCCTGAAATTAAAAGAAAACATTTTAACTAAATAGCCAAGTGAAATGGAACAATATACAGCAATTTGACAATTAAAGATATTACTGTTGGTGATTTCATATTCTTGTCCTAAACAAGAGTCAGAATACTGTTTCAACTAATTCTGACATGTATTGGTTTTGTGAGCCCAGATATGTCACTGCGGCCACTAGAGAGAATATCAGTAAAAGCATAAGGGAGAAGAAAGCAGGTACTATATATATGTCCACTTCTTTATCAATTCATTATTGATGAACACTTAGGCTGCTTCCATATCTTCACTATTGTATGCAATGCTGCAGTAAACATAGGGGTGTGTATATCTTTTTGAATTGGTGTTTTCTTCAGATAAGTACCCAAAAACAGAATTGCTGGGTCCTTCTTTGTCTCTTTTATATAGCTTTTGTTTTAACCCTTTGTATGCCATAAGCGTCTATAGATGCAATCGGGATGGTTTCCATTTTGGACACGTGGCAGTTAACTGGTTAAAGTCCATTTTGTTTGGTACAGCTATTGCCATCCCAGCTTTTCTTTGGTTTTGTATCATTTTCATGAAGTATCTTTTTCTATCCCTTTACTTTAAATCTGTGAGTGTCCTTAGATATGAAATGAGTCTTACATAGGCAGTGAGTCTCATATGTAAGTCTTAAAAAAATATACATTCAGTAACCCTATGTCTTTTGAATGGAACACTTAGTCCATCTGCATTTAAAGTGATTATTGATAGGTATGTACTTATTGCTATTTTAGTTGTTTTCATACTAGATTTATAAATGGTTGGTTTACTATCTTCGCTATTGTTTGCCTTTACTAGTGAGAGTTTTTTCTTTGCATATTTTATTTCTGGTTTTGAGCTTTATTTCCCACTTAAAGAATTCCTTTTACTGTTTCTTGTAATGCTGGTTTAGTAGTGATGAACTCCTTTAGCTTTTGCTTTTTTGGGAAAATCTTGATGTTTCCTTCAATTCTGAATTGATAACCCTGCTGTGTAGAATAGGCTTGGTTGAAGATTTTCCCCTTTCATCATGGTGACTATATTGTGCCACTCCTTTTAGGCCTGCAAAATTTCTATTGAAATATCAGCTGATAATCTTATGAGCATTCCTGTGTATGTTGGTTTTCTAATGCTGTTTTTAAGATGCCCTCCTTTTAACTTCTAACAATTTAATTGTAATGTAATGTATCTTGGTGTGGGTCACTTTGGTTAATCTTGTTTGGGACTCTCTGCTTCCTAGACTTGGATGCTCATTTCCTTCACCAGGTTAGGGAAGTTTTCAGCCATTACTTCCTTAAATAGGTTTTTTTGTCCCTTTATCTCTCTTCTGGAACTGCAATGATTCGAATATTAGTATGCATGATGATGTTGTCCCAGAGATCCCTTATCCAGTGGTTCTCAACCTTCTGTCCCTTTAAATACAGTTCCTCATGTTGTGACCCAATCATAAAATTATTTTCGTTGCTACTTCATAACTGTAATGCTGCTAGTGTTATGAATCGTAATGTAAATATCTGATATGCAGGATGGTCTTAGGCGACCCATGTGAAAGGGTCATTCGACTGCCAAAGGGGTCGTGACCCACAGGTTGAGAACCACTGCCTTATGCTATGCTCTTTTTAAAAATCCTCATCATTTTAAATTATTTTTTTTCCTGATCTTCCAATTGCATTACTTCCATTAGCCTGTCTTCCTGATTGCTGATCCATTCTTCTGCATCATCTGATCTGCTGTTGATTCCCTCCCATATATTTTTCGTTTTAGTTGTCATATTCTTCAGTTATGATAGGTTCTTTTTTATAATGTTGAAGTTCTCACTGAGTTTATCCATTTGTCTGCAGAGTTTGATGAGCATCTTTATAACTATTACTTTGAAATCTTTAGTAGACAGCTTACCTCTGTTTAATTTAGTTTTTTTTCTTCTGGGGTTTAATCTTTTTTTCTTTTGTTTGGAACATATTCTTTTCTCTCCTCATTTTCCCTCTTTGTGTCCATGTATTAGGTAAAGGTGAGCTACAACTCCTGGTTTTGAAAAGTGGCCTAATTTAGAAGGTGTTCTATGGGGCCCAGTGGTGGAATACTCCCTTGTCACCAAAGTCAAGTGCTCCAGAGGTGTTCCCCTGGGTGAACTAGTTGGCCTCCTTATGTGGTTGGGCCACAACTTCTATGGACACACTGGCAGGTGACGCTGGTTCCTGACCCATTTGGCTGTGAGTACTGGCCACAACTGTGGTGGGCTCACTGGTGTGTAAAGCAGGCCTTTAGTGTGGCTGGCTGTGAGGCCTAGCCTCAAATGTTGTAAACACACTGCTATGTGTGTGGTGCCAACTGAGGCTGCCCACTGGACATGGCACGGCAGGAGCTACTTTAGAGGGGAGTTAGCCTGGGTGAGTCCTCAGGGATAAGCTAGGGTAGGGTGAACAGTGTTAGCAAGGTTAATGGAGTGTCAGAAATGGTGCATGCTAACATCGGACCAACTAGGTAGAACGAGTAAAGAAAGGGGAAAAATGAGCCCTACTAGCACTTGAATCAGGAGAAAATTCCAGCACATACCTTATAACTAGTCAATGTATCACCTTCACGTATGACCTAGGTGCTTTTCAAACGGCTGCCTCTGTTCTGAGACTCAGAAAGAGCACAACTGTGGTTTCCTACAGCCCTTTGGCTCTTGCTGGTTTTCAAAGCCAGATGTTAATGCTGACTCCTCTTCCTGGTGCAGGTCCCTCGTGCTGGGACTCGGACCCCTTTGCTCTTCATGGGGGAACTCTGTGGTTGTGATATCCCTCCCACTAGTGAGACAGCTATGTGGAGAGTGGGGCATAGGTGGGTGACTAGACTTAATCTCTACCCATCCTACCCGTCTCAATGTGGCTTTTTCTTCATATCCATAGTTGTAGAAAGCCTGTTCTACTAGTCTTCAGGTCATTCTCAGTTCTGTATGTGGTTTTCTTTTGGTGTCAGTGACAGGAGCTGAGGATCTTCCTACTCCACCATCTTGAACTTGAAGCCAGGAGCCTTGCTCTTGAATGACAATTTAGCTTGTCTGTGAAATGCTGTTCCTTATAGTTGGTATGCTGCCCCATACAACAAATGTCCAGTGTCATCTGCTTTTAAAGTCAGTTTCACTTTATATTTTTTGGTGCAAGTGAATATACCATACAAATAAACAACTCTAAAAATCCTATATAGCTCTTCCATTTTCCTTTAACAATTTTATTGAGTAAGGATAATAGAAAAGAAGGTATCATAAACAAATGTCAAAATTATTTTAAACGGACAATGCCACTTTTAAATTATCAATGTCAATCTGTGCAAGGTTACTGGACTACTAAATTAAATGACTAGGTGTTTATTTTTTTAAAGTTCCACCATGAGAAAAGAGTGAAGAAATAAAATGTAGTCACTATAGTCAAGCTGCTAATGGACTAATATCAATTAGGCTGAAGCATGAGAAAATGATTCTATTTTTGCTTTAAGTAGCCTACAAACTTAAACTTTTGACTTTCAGTAGTGTATCAATGCTTGGAGAACACACACACACACACACACACACACACCCCATAGCCAATTCTTAAAAATTTAGGAAAGAATGTTCATGTGTTCAGACCACCTGACATCCATTCTCCAGACCACTGGACATCAAAGATTGTCATTTCAGACCAAACCAGAGGCTATAAATGCAGGACTGTTTCTTCTCAAGAATGTACTATAAGAACTTACAAGTGTTCTGTTTTCTTCAGAACACTCTAGGTCAGGGGTCCTCAAACTACGGCCTGTGGGCCACATGCAGCCCGCCGAAAACATTTATCCGGCCTGCTGGGTGTTTTTGCCGCTGCTGTGTGCATAGGAATTTGTTCATAGTTTTTTTTTTTTTAAACTATATTCCGGCCCTCCAACGGTCTGAGGGACAGTGAACTGGCCCCGTTTAAAAAGTTTGAGGACCCCTGCTCTAGGTGTTTGTTACCTGGTAATTTTTCTGATTTGCAAATCTTAAGACCCTCGAATAAATCTTTGTCATTTACTTCTAGACAAAGACTCCTGACATTTTGTGATGGGTTGACAACCAAAAACAAATAATAAAAAAATTAATTTTTCCTCATTTTAACTTTTTCTCTCATTAAATGGTAAACACAAGATGGCAGCATTTACTAACAACCAAATTTTTTTTGTTCTTTGTAAAGTGACTTTGTGATTTACCAAGAATCCTTCAAATTTGAAATTCTAAAAAAGCCAGTTTTTTAAAAAGTGATCCATTTAAGAAATGAATAATGCATAAGCTAAGGCAATAACTGCAAGAGGTAATGAGGAAGAGGCACAATGTGAAAAGGTGAACCCTCAGAATTCTAACAGGATCAGAAGAATCTTAGGACGCCAAGGTCCTAAGGAATCCAACGCGCCTCAGAGACCAACCTAGTCTAGTGGTCACCAACCTTTCAGACCTCACGGACCACTGGTTGGCGACCGCTGACCTAGTCCAATTTTATAATTTACCATGCAAGTTGTTAACATTCAGAGGTCAAATGATTTGTCCAAAGTTGTACAAGCAATATATATGACCAATACTTGCTAATATGTCATATTACTTGACAACAGACTAAATGAATGACTGACTGAACCAAAATGACCAGTTATTGCCTGGAAGGAGAAAAGGATATAAAGGATCAAGCATACTAGCATTAGACCTGAGTTTAAATCCTAGCTCTGCAAATTAAGACTTTGATATATTATTTCACTTGTCTGAGCTATAATCTTATGACATATAAAATGGGAAAAAGAATATTTAGCTCATAATTTTGTTGGGAAGACAGAAAAGTTTGCATGCCCATTACAGCCTCTCTCAGACTGTGCACTCAAAAAATGTTAGCATTCTCCCACAGTCAGAATCACGCTAGGCCAGCAGTTGGCTGAGGTTGACTTTGTTCTGGCTGCACCCTGAAGACTGATAGGAGGCCCACCATGAGTGCACAGTGGCTTTGCATGAGTTTTTTT